AGTATGGCTTAACCGATCTAGGTTTGAAAGCCCACGAACTAAACGCTCCATGGTAACCTTGTCGTAAGGCCTCCTGGGCCGAGAATGACTCTACACTCGGCCCAAACTAATATTTTGGGCCCAAACAACAGTACTACATATATGATCAAACATATTATACTAATTAATCTACCTATATGTAAATTTATGATGAGCAAATAACATATATTTTGTAGGTATTTTATTTTGTATGTATCATCATATATATTGGGCACATTTTATTATTATATGTACAAAATAATAGGTAAAATAATATTGAATAAAGTAATAATATTTTTTTATGTAGGTACATTATCTTGCATACATTGGGTTTGCTATATTATGTAGGTAATTATTTTGCATGTATTTTACATATAGTGGGGAAATTATTTTGCTTTTTTTAAGCAATCTAACATTTTAAAATTCGAATAGTAGGTGCACTGAATCAAATAACATTTTTTGTAGGTAAATTATTTTGCATGAATTTTTACATATACCAGGCTTCTTTTTTTCTTTTTTGTTATATATGTGTGTGAAATAATTTACCTACATTTATATGTAAAATATAATTTATTGACTTAACTAAGCATGTATTATTACATATATTAGGTGTAAGATCCCAAATCGCCCAGGGAAGTGGATCCTGTAAGCCTCATATGTATATTCTCATCTCTAACTAGCACGAGGCTTTTTGGGAGCTCACTGGCTTTGGATTCCATCGGAACTCCGAAGTTAAGCGAGTTCGCGCGAGAGAAATCCCATGATGGGTGACCCACTGGGAAGTTTTTGTGTGAGTTCCTAGAAACAAAACCTTGAGGGCGTGGTCAGGGTCCAAAGCAGACAATATCATGTTACGGCGGAGTCGAGCCCGGGATGTGATAGGGGTCCGGGCCGGGATGTGACTTAGGCATGTTTTGTTGTTATTATATATTAGGCAATAAATTTATTATTTATTATTTTGGTAAAATCATTAATTCTCCCTTACAATATGTATGGAACTACTTGTGTACATCAAACATTCAAATAGGGGTGTTTTGGGCATCAAAATTTTTTATATGTGTAAAGTCAAATATAGTTAATAAATTTGCTGATGTGGAATCTAGTCAATAGGATTTATTTGAGTAAAAAACTTATGACGGGTTTTATGTGGAGAAAAGTAAATTTCAGGGGCTAAAGTCATATTTGTTAAATAGTTTTAAGTTGAATGCTCACGTTCTAATTAGTATTGAACATGTCGTGAGAATGGGGATGACAAGGGTTTAAAAGATTGAATTGAGAACTAAATTCAAACTTGGAACATCTTTTCACGTTAACATTTACTTATATTTTTGGGAATTGGAGTGATATGGGGTAAAGAGGGAATGACACCTAAATTGTTCAAACATAAGATAAACATATCACTACTGGTAATGATACTTTATTAAAATTGAAAATGGGTACATATTTTAAATTAAGACTCACTTATTTATTCATTTTTGTGTGTTAATAAACAAAAAAAAAATATTAGAAATAAATTAAATACTCATACCTTATATTCTCATTCTTATGAGTAAAACATACCATAAAAAGAGAGATAGGACGGTAGGAAAGAAAGCCGGCAGCCTCATCACTCCAGACATTTTCCCTTTGAAACTTCCTTTTTCTGATCATTTCATGTGGAAAGCATCTTTACTCAAAACAATATATTAATATTGAAAATAAATACTTTAAATACTAGAGGCTCAATTCTCTTTTGTTATTGTGAATAGAAAAAATAATTTAAGTACACGTTATTTGTAACGTACATTTTATAATTTTTTTATATTTTCTTTCAGGTCGGACTCCACACATTTCTCATATGATGTAAGAATTGTCCTCTTAACTAGGCTATCCTATCGAAGTTGATAAGCGCAAATTATTCTACCTACTTTACCCCGAGAATAACATTTTCCTGTGATATTTTTTATTTAAATGAAAGGAATTGCATGTTTCTTGTGTTTTGTGGCTAGATTAATGAGATGGAAAAAATCATATTAAAATTCTATAATTGCTAGTCAAGTGAATTTGGAGAATGTTTTGATTGTCATTGATCCCTTGCTCTAATTATTAAATTATTTGTCTGTTGACATATTAAGAGCTGTTACATGTGCAACTGGATTATGTAATACATTTCTATCATTTGAATTTTATGAAGGATGATAAAAGAGAGAGGAATTGCATTCATAAGAGCTTTGCCCTTATCCTCCCATTAGTCACATGACTATTTATAAGAAAGTGAGAAGGAAAACCCTATTCTTTTCAGCGCATCTAATACAAATATTAGTCATGCCTTTCTCTCGCAAAGACCATGAAAGAAGCCAACGACATATTACAGTGAGTAAACTGAAAAGGCACAAGATCGAGAATACGTTGGTGCTAAGCTTTCGTCGGTTATAGCAAAGGAAAAGAAAGAGGAACAGCTGGAGTGCTTGGAATTAATTCATCAATAGTGGGGCTGATCATTATTGATCATTGAAGAAAGGAAATAAAGGGAAGAAGCAAGCAGATAAAAATAAGATGATGGAAGCAAAAGGTTGCGGCAGGTAGAGATCAAAGGGAAGAAGGCAGCGGCAAGCAAGAGATTTTCAGGTTTTTCTAAACTTACTTTTTTTCCTTTTAATTTTATGAATTAAGTTGATGCATAAAACTGGAGGTCTTGGGACAACGTAAATCCGACTGTGAATCTGCAAAAAATGTAAATAACACAAGATGTATCGTGGTTCACCCCAATGTTTGGGCTATGTCCACACTGATATTGTATTTCTCTGAGAGGATTGTGAGGGAGAGAACCTCTGTAATGTGAGAGGGGATGTGAGAGGGTGAGGGGGCTTCAGGCCTAAAAGTTGGCCTCCTCAATTGTGAGGGTAAGGGGTCCTTTTATAGAATAAGGGCTCCTCACTTATTACATATTTGCCCATTCCTTTATCACATAATTACATTTAAGTCCCCTGAGTATTTATACAAGATCTAAATACGGAGGCCTTAAGTATGGTACAAACAGTAGTCCCCCAAGTCTTCAGTCAAGAGAGTCTTTTGGCTAGATACTTGAAATTCAGTTTATGTGTGGGCCGAAGTAACTAGATGTCGTCTTGAACTGATACTTGATATGAGGCAATGCTCAAAGTGAAATGATGCTCAACTAGAAGTAGCACATGTTGTAAGGCTACTCGGTTTGTGGCTTATGTTGTCTTGGTTGGCTCGGCTTGCGGCATTTGAGGGTGAAAGAGTCCCTTTTATAGAATAAGGGATCGCTCCTCAATACATAAATATGGGCTAGAGTTGATGCTCGCGGCGAGGTGGTTGCTCAATAGGCGGCGATGCTCTCTAATGATGGTGAGGAAGTCCCTTTTATAGAATAAAGGTTCGCTCTTCAATACATGAATAATGGGCTAGAGTTGATGCCCTCTAATGATGGTGAGGGAGTCCCTTTTATAAAATAATGGCTCGCTTCTCAATACATGAATAATGGGCTAAGTCCCCCAAGTATTTTTTTATGAGACCCACTATATGGTACATAGTGTAATCCCTCAAGTCTTCGGTCAATAGAGTATGTTGGCTGGAGACTTCAAATTGAATCCATGTATGGGCCGAAGTAGCGGTTGTTCGGAGGCGGTATTTGTATATCCTGCACTGAAGCTTTGTAGGTGAAGCTTTGCAAGTGAAGCTTTGAAGCTGGAGCTCTGTAAATGAAGCTTTTGAAGCTAGAGTTTTTGTAAATGAAGCTTTTGAAGCTAGAGCTCTGTAAATGAAGCTTTTGAAGCTAGAGCTTTTGTAAATGAAGCTTTTGAAGCTAGAGTTCTGTAAATGAAGCTTTTGAAGCTAGAGCTTTTGTAAATGAAGCTTTTAAAGCTGGAGCTCTGTAAATGAAGCTTTTGAAGCTAGAGCTTTTATAAATGAAGCTTTTGAAGCTGATTGATATGAGTGATGCTCATGAATGTTTATATTGATTGAGATGAGTGATGCTCATGGATGTTGACATGAGTGATGCTCATGAATGTTTATGTATGATTGATATGAGTAATGCTCATGAATGTTTATGTATGATTGACATGAGTAATGCTCATGTATAATTTGAAATACTGGACGTACTTTTGATCACCTGGTTGGAGATAATAGCGGCAGGCTGCTGAATAATTTTGGAGTACTGGGCGTACTTTTGATCACTTGGTTGGTGATAATAGCGGCAGGCTGCCGAATAAATTTGGAGTAATGGGCGTACTTTTGATCACGTGGTTAGTTATAAGGGCGGCAGGTTGCCGGATAATTTTGGCGCCATAGGGCCTAGCTCTTTTGGGCATATGGGTCTTGGCCCTCCACATAACATTCCAGCCCATTATTTTGGGCTTGATGTTTTTTTTTTTACCCTCTGATGGGGTTTATACAGATGTCTCCTAAAGATAAGAAAAATAAATCACATCAAGAAAAGTAAATCACATCATTCTGGTGGGGTGTTTATTCCTTGCTTTTGCTTTCTCTTTTGCTTTTGTTTCTCCACTTGCATGTATGAAAACTTGGGTGGCTGCCTTATGCCAGAAATTTCATCATGTGTGACCAGACATAAAGTGACCATGGTACCTGTAAATGTCCATTTCAAGAATAATGGGTCCATTTTTCAGAGCATGCTCCTTTGCAGATTTGCATGCCTGCTTTACAACAAACACACCCATACCGTCCACCAGTAAGATTCAGCTCAGCTAACTAAAAAGTTACCCTTCTCTCATGGCTTTCCTGGTCGGCGGTGTGCCATGTCTAGGCCTTCTCCACGGCGACTTGATCCGCCACTGCCGTTGCTGATTCTAATTAGGGATCATCTTGCTCTTGATGGGCTTCAGAACCGTTATAGCCTGTATCAAAATAAAGATCATCGAACAGAGACCAAGAACAATCATTTACAGAAGAACCCACCTCCTGATTCACGTCAATTTGGCTCGAAAGCTTCATGTTTGTGTTGGTTTTCTGCAAACTTCATTAAGCACTCTTCGCAACGAGATCCTCAATCAGATCAGCTGCATCTTGAACAGTGGCGATGGTCTGGGCATTTTCTTCCTCCACGGTGATGCCAAATGCCTCCTCAAGCCCTATCACAATCTCAACTGTGTCAAGAGAATTGGCACCAAGTTCTGAAAACTTTGAGCTAGCAGACACATCCACATCTTTAGCTAAAGCCAGCTGCTTCTTCACTATGCTACACACCTTGGTGATAATCTCCGGTTTGGCCGCACAAGAAATTTGGAGGCGCCCAGGTTGGGAACTCAGAGATGGAAAACGCTTTCCAGTGACGAAAAAGGAAACTGATTTCAAACCAGAGCTCCTGCTGCTAGGTGCCAAAGTGGGCTTGAAAGAGGTGGAAAGGGCAGCAGAAGCTTGGGCGAGGGAAGTCATTGTCGTCGACAGATGAGAGATCTGGTATCGAAAGAAGTGAGAAATTGAGGAGAGAATGGGGGGCGGAGAGCACAAAGAGTGTCTAGAGAGAGAGGAAATGGATCTGGTGTCCCTGTGTGGGTTAGTAAGAGGTTGACAAAGGATTGGTTAGTATTTGGTCAACCATTCGCAGATCGAGTTGGCATGCCAGCTGTAATGGGAAGTGGCAACATGCCTTCTGAATTGATGAGGCAGGCCTCTGCTCCGGTTCTCCAGTCATTACCCAGTCGCCATTTTCATGAGGGCAGACCCTTCATCTGATCCAAAGCTTCAATCGTCTTCCTCACCTCTAATCCTTTCACCTTCTCTCTAAAATCACCGTATTTCGTCGGCATATCCTCCAACTTAAATGGCAAATCCTGCGCGTGGTACAGAGTGCTTCCCCAAAAATACTTAACCTCCATATTCTCCTCTTTCATTGCCGCCTCGATCTTCTCCTCCTCCTTAACTTTAAACCCTGAAACCTCTATGTGCGCATAAATGGTGTCGGCACCTATGGCCTTTGCCAACTCCATCAGAACAGTATCAGGCTTCCCGATTCTGATTACCAGACCGGATCTTCTACCCATAAATGGTGTCGGCGCCTAGAGATTCTTCCGGAGGTCCGAGTGGGTCTCACTTGTTGAAGAGGCGGAGACTGAGGGTGAGGCTGAACTGGCGGCAGCAAGAGCAGATGATGATGTTGTGATGGGGGTCCAAACTTTTCTTCTTGGATTTGAGAACTTGGTGTCGTCTTCGATCTCGAGGCTTATGTGAGTGTCTCGGCACCAAGATTAGGAGGTTTGGGATCCTGACTTGCACGGCTGAGCCCGATTTATGAAGAGCAACGAAGGTGGAAGGGCTCGGACCATGGCGATGGAGATTATGTGCATGCTTCTGATTCTAAATCGTACCTCTTCCTTCTCTATGTGTGGAGAGCCAGAGATAGTTTGAGAGACTTTTTGAGGTTTTCTTTTTGTTTTTTGTTTCTATGTATGATTGACCGAGAGATGAGAAAGAGAGAGATTTGGTTTCTTGGGTTTTTGTGATTTTGCAGATTCACGACGGAGGTGAAAACTTGAAAGACGTAATTTTTTGTGTCGATTCCCACATACGGCGCCAAATGTTGATGCACAAAACCAGAGGTCTTGGGACAACGTAAATCCGACCGTGAATCTGCAAGAAATGTAAATAACACAAGATGTATCGTGGTTCACCCCAATGTTTGGGCTACGCCCACACTGATATTGTATTTCTCTGAGAGGATTGTGAGGGAGAGAACCTCTGTAATGTGAGAGGGGATGTGAGAGGGTGAGAGGGCTTTAGGCCTAAGAGTTGACCTCCTCAATTGTGAGGGTGAGGGGTCCTTTTATAGAATAAGAGCTCCTTACGTATTACATATTTGCCCCTTCTTTTATTACATAATTACATTTAAGTCCCCTGAGTATTTATACGAGATCTAAATACGGAGGCCCTAAGTATGGTACAAACAAATTCAATAATATTTCCGATTATGTTCCAGAACTAATTTCTTTTCGCTAGGGCTACGATGTAGCCTAACGATGAATTCTTAATTTCTCAGTTTAATTATTTATGAATTTTCATTCAAGTTGAGTATCATTTTGCCGTGCTTATGAGCTTGATTTTAATCTTGGTGATTGGCCACAACTTTGGTTTGAGTTGAGTGTATTTGATGCCAGTTAACACAGATGCCATGTTGTTAATTCGGTTTTAGTGTCTTACAAATGGTACCATGAATTCCTTGATGTAGATGTCATACACTAGGTTTCATGCGGTCTCTTAAGTAGTTCTCAAATCGTTAATGAACTCATGTGTGTTTAGTAATCTAGATGCCATACATTGTTAGCACATATGAGTATACATAGTAATCTGGAGGCCATGGATACTATATGAATTAGAGGAACTAGACTGTCAATTTGGATGGTTACTCATTAATAATTAACTGTAGGAATTGAGTTGGATTGGTTATGGTGAATCAGATGTTCTAGTGTCTTTTGCAATTGATTTATAATTTGATTTCTTTGTTGTTCTTGTCATTTATTTAAGCTCATTTGATTTTTGTTTATGTTTACAATTTCAAAGTTCTTTCTCAAATCATCAATTCTTCCATTTCAATTCAAGTGCAATACAAATTAAGTTATATTATTAGAATTGTTTCAATCTTAATTGGAACGATCTTGTGCTTGCCTACTATACTACTTAACGATTTGTACGCTTGCGAGCATTAAAATTTGGACTTAATTGGGTTGATTTCGGTTAATCTAATTTTGGCAACAGAAGTCTCTTGGTAGAAGTATAATTACAGAGTAAAAAACAAGGATGTATTGATAAAATTTCTCGGTGCATTTAGGCCGTGTTTGGCACACCGTATAAGGCACCGAATAGTACTAATAATACGGAGTACAGTGTTTGGTGTCCGTTTAGATTAAATAAGCACGAGGTTAAATAATCCGAACCCACCTTTTTATACGGTCTTCACCCTCTTCCTTATACCGTCCAAAAGCATGGTATAATTTAGTCGGGCTTCTCTCGCTCTCTCATTCCTCTTCAGACGATAGTCTCCAGACACTCTCTCTTCCTCTCCAGACGCACTCCTCTCTCGTCTGAATTCCAGGTTCATCTTCTCAAATTCTTCTTCTTCGTTTGCATCACAGTTCGTCTTTTCATTTTTCTTATTCTTCTTCCCTGGCTTCTCTCGCTATGTCCTTCCTCTCCAGAAGCTCTATCTTCCTCTTCAGAAGCTCACTCACTCTCTCTCTCCCTTCACTCTCTCTCCCCGCCACTTGCCCCCAACTTCCTCCTCGTCTTTATCGTTACGCTGCTGCTTTTTTCCGGCTACCCAAAAACTGTAGCGCTCGCCTGGTACGCCTCTTCAATTTTGGTATAAAGTTCCAATTTTTATTCATATGGGTTCTTATTTTTGCTATGTATGTTTAAGATTTTGCACCCACCATGATCAAATTTGGGTGGGTTTTGTGAATTGGGCATCGAGTTTCTGATGCTTTTAGAGAAATGGATTGTCAGTGATGTTTTGATATTTCAATAGTCGGACTTGTGTGGCTGCATGCGTTTTTTTATTTCTACTGGGTTTAGCTAACTGGGTTGTGCGATTAATCTGTTTGTTCTCCAACTTTCTTACGATTTAAGTGCTTTTAGGTGAAGTACTTCCTGTGCCTATTTGTTCTTTCTTAGTAGCTCAGAGGTATGAAATTTGATAGTATTTCGTGTTAATTTTTAATGGAACTTGAAGAATGAGAAATGCATATCTTGCTTGTGAAATTTGATACTATTTTTCTTTGTTATTTGAAAATTTATGTGGTTTTCAATAGGTATAAATATGAGAAAAGTTCAACAAACAAACAAAGATTTGTCATATTTTTTTTTTCCTTGTCCTATCCGGTTCAATATCAAACACGGTATAAATAATACAACCATTAGTCCGATACTGCACCAAACGCCCGACTAATTTAGTCAGTACTATCAGATGACTATTTATTCTATCCGACAGAAATAGTCAGTACAGTCTGAGTTGCCAAACGAAGCCTTAGAAGCCTCTGCCTTGGTCATGGACGCGGCCTTTCTTAATGGGCCAAAAGTTACGGAACCGGGCCTATAAGATCTGCACAGAATCCAGTTCAAACGACGCCGTTCAAGAACCGTCTTTGATTCAATATGTAGTTGAAGAAGTGGTGCGGAAGCCAACCCTCGTTTTTTTGAGAAAGAAAACGTGAAAGCTTCTTCGCGGCAGTCACAGGCTCTGTGCTGCCGATACAGAGAGAGAGAGAGGGAGAGAGAGAGACGGAGGGAGAGAGAGATGGGTAATCCGAAGCAAAAATGGACGGTGGAGGAAGAAGAAGCTCTGAGAGCGGGGGTTAGGAAACACGGCACTGGCAAGTGGAAGGACATCCAGAAGGACCCCGAGTTCAACCCCTTCCTCTCCTCTCGCTCCAATATTGATCTCAAGGTCTCTCTCTCCTCTATATATTCATATATATCGATGTGTATATGGAAAATCCAAAATTTGAATTTGCTGTATATTGTGGTGGTTGTTTTTGAATGTTTTGTGATGTTGAAATAATGGGTTTTATTTGTTTTGGTTTTTTTTTTTTTTTTTATCAAATGCGAGATTAGAGAATGAAAATTGCCTGGTTTTGTGATGTGATTAAAGTTAATTATAATGATGATGCATGGCTGAGTCTGGATTAGTGGAGTTTTGGACTAAAATGGTGTACCCATTAGAGCTACAAATAGCTAATTGTTTCTGGCATAGTGTTTGTTGATTTAGGACTTCGGTTCGAAATTCGCCCGCTTATTGGATAGTTGGGAGCCGCTCTTTGAGTTACTTGATTTTCAATTTTCCCTCATCGGTTGGCTACATGTTATATAGGCATGAAAATAATTTTGAGAATGGTATGAAAATCGTGCGAATGGTGTAATTTTATATGAAAAGCATTTGAAATTCGCCAATTTGACCGCCAATTGCAAGATGTTATTTGAATGAACTAATCTTGCTTTATATCAGAACGATTGGTAGACTGTATCTAATGTGGTATGAAACATTTTCTAGATGATTACTATGTCTATGGTCTGTTTCAAATTGATTTTTGCTTGTATAGGACAAATGGAGGAATATGACTGTTAGTGGCACGGGTCCCCGGGAAAAATCAAGGCCAAAAACAAGAACAAACCAAGATGTTACTGTTGCTCCAGTGTCTGTTCCCCAGACTTCTGCTGCTGCTCCAGTTAGATGCGATTCACCAGCAGCAGCAGCTCCAGTTAGACGTGATTCACCAGCAGCAGCTCCAGGCGGACGTGATTCACCAGCAGCAACTCCAGTCAGACGTGATGCACCAGCGGCAACTCCAGTCAGACACGATGCACCAACAGAAACTCCAGTCAGACGTGATACAACTCCTGTTGCGGATGATTCGGCTACCGGCTTATCTGATGCAATTCCTGCACCAGTGTATGATATTTGTTTCTCCTTGCCTTGGTCTTTTATTAATACATTAGAAAAATATGCAACTAGTTACCTGGGTTTTTCACAGAATATATTTGCAGTGATACTGCGTGACTGGAATTTGCTCAGTTTCCATGTGAGAATGATGAGTGGAAAAAAGACAACTGGAATGCGGAATGATATAGCTCTTTAGACTCTTATGAATTGGCAAAGTTATGGGGAGGGGCAGCCCAACTAATCAGTGAGGGTGAAGGGGAGAAGAAAGGAGTTAATTGTTGATGATGCCAAAGTATCTTCAATTAGAAACTGTCAGGTTTTAAAATTATAGTCATAATATGTTCTTAGACAACCCCAGTGAAGAAATACCCCATCCTAATAGAAACTGCAATTCTGGTGCATAATCTGGACTATTAAGCTATTTTCTGCAACAATTTTTACTCGATGCAACAATTAGCTGAGTGGCCGGCTTGCATTGCTTTATTCCGGAACCATATTGTATGATGGTGTAGTCCAGGGTTAGCCATAATTTTTTGCTTTATTAATTTTTAGCCTGTCAAACTTAGGATCTGTTGATTACAATAAAGAAACAAAGTATATTGAATGATTTTTTTTGTACCTTGTTTTATATATACCTACATTTATCCGTTGCATATAATAAAATTCAGTACCTCCAATAGCCAGAGTACTTTTATCAATATTAGTATTAGTTTTTAATTTCATTTTGGTCAATACATTAGGTGCAATGCAATGATTTTTGAAGCTCTTTCAGCCTCAACAGATCCAAATGGATTGGACACTAGTGCTATTGCTAGCTATATTGAGGTATGCTTGAAATTTGTGATGTCTTTTTATTTATTTATTTAAGAAAAATGAAATAAAAAGAATCTTCTAAGTTTTTATTAATTGGTTGTCTCAGTAGGAAGCTGTATATTCTCATGTTGACTGGAGTGGTAAGGTCATGAAATGATAATTGCTTGCATGAAGGATAATAGTTTGCTCATATATAAACTCTTGTAGATTTATGTTCCAATTAATCATGGTAGGGAATTGTTATTGGCACTCCAAAATCTAATTGTGTACTCCAAACTTTCTATATTTAGAAAGAAAAATACTCTTATGAGGAGTGCACAATTAGATTTTTGGAGTGCCAATAAAAGTTCCCTTATGGGTAAACCTATTATTTCTCATATTAGCTACTTGATAGATAATACCTAAATCGAAGTTAGTATTTCAATACCCGTCGAGCTCATTATATTTTTCGGTTACCTTCAGATATATTTTTTATACTTGTTTGCTGGTGAGAACGAGATTTTCCAAAAAGAATTTACAAGGAAAACCTTCCAATTCACTGTTGATGTCTCTGATGATGTATGAAGTGCTAATGCTAGATACTAATTTTCGCGTTTTATAATCACTTGACTTCCATGATAAAATTACTCCTGCAGCAAAGGATTGAGGTCCCCCAAAATTTTAGAAGGTCATTAACAGGTAGGTTGAGAAGGCTGGTTCTGCAAGACAAACTTGAAAAGGTGATTGCTTGATAGTTCTAATATTTTTCATCTCAAGTTATTCACTCGATATTTGTAACCCAGGATTTATCTGGCTCTATCGATGTTTGATTCGCAAGCTTTGTTTTTTATGAAATCGATATTGAATATCAGCTTATATAAATTAATATGTCATCCTAATGTAGATTCAAAACTGCTACAAGGTGAAAACCGATTCCTTGAGTGTTAGTAGTGATATGTTAGAGGAATCAGCGCGGGCTGCTGCACATAGCATTGCCGAAGCAGAATACAGATCATATTTGGCAGCAGAGCAAATGAAAGAGGCAGAGAGGATTAATTTTATGGCTGAAAACACAGAATCAATGATGCAGTTGGCTAACGAGATTTTGGAGCAATGTAACATCCAAAAGTCCGAATTATTTGCATCCATTTGCATAGATTTCCCACTTCCATTTGACTATATGTTGAACGATTTCCAAATTTGACAGGTTCAGAAGGTGAAGTCCTGATGGTGGCGTGAGATATGAATCATGTGACTAGAGCTTGTAAAGTTTCTTCGCTATACTTCCTTTCGCTACTGAGGTGCAACTGAAGCGAAATTATCTTTCGCTCTTTTTGCTAATAATAGTGTTATACAACCTCTTCAGACTGGACCTGGTGTCTGGTGATATGGAGAATTGTTTTTGAATTATCTGTCTATCAAAGATCACACGCTCTTATATTTTTTTGGTTGGAAAATGTCACTGGTTTAGTCATGTAGTTTTATGATTACGTCTATTGATTAAGCTACAGCTTTACACTCATTAAACACTTACATATCGTGGATTTGTTAGTTTTTAAAATTAATTGCGACGCCACTGTAACACTACAGTTTAGTCCTTCTCACCTGTAAGCGGAAGGTCTTGTGTCCAATCCACATGAATGACGAGTTTGAGCCTAACTCAGAATGACTTTCCGGGACTATTCGTCATAGTCCCCCGGAGGTCCTAGGCTTGATTTCCTCCCCCCACAGTCAACGTGCCTTCGTGTTGCGGGGAAGGATGAATGAAATGCAGAAACATGCAGGTAAAATAAACAGTGATCCAAATGAAGAGGCTAAAAAGAATCAAATAAAATCTTCAAAATTCAAGCTCAACTTTTGCTCCAAAATAACCATTTCAATTGCAAACACCTAAACCCTAAGCATTGCAGGTGAAAAAAAAAATGCATTGCAAAATCTCATATTCTTTGATGATAATCCAAAGGAGCAAGGGCAAATGAAAACAACAGCTAGCCACGAAAAAGGAACCGAAAAAAGAAACAGAAATGATTTGTCAAGTCCGAAGTGCAAAACCAAGACCGGAAAATTATAAGAGTACAAGTCCAAGCTCCGAGGGTTTCAATGCGTTCCTCATCCGGTAGTTGTAGAGATAGTAGTGAAGTTGCCCATCGCCAGGTCCAAATTTCAGCTCCTTCAAAAACGACTCATTCTGCATGACATCCAATGCATTGAAAACATCGAAATCCTTCTGTTTTGCGACAATGAGTGCATCATTCATCAGCTGAAGCAATGGAGTCTTTGTGGAGACGTTATAATAGGAGTATGCAGCCTTCAAGATTGAGTACGTCTGATTGCCGAGGATTGACGAAGGAAGAGTGTAGAAGCTGCAGAAGTCAGTGATGTCATGATTCTCTGGGCTCTCAACCAAGTAACTGTCCACCACATTCTCCTCTGGAAGAAGCCAATGCTCGACGTCGTTTTCATCGAAATCTGGTGCGACCACAAACTGGCTCAAGTAGTTCCTTAGCAGCCGAGTAACAGCAGGAACATCACGAAGTTCCATTTTTCTGAATCCAGGAGTAGCGGGTGAATCTGGCAGCTTGTAAAGTTTTATGGTTCGGCTCATAGTCATCCTCGCACCAAGCCTTGAAAACCCAACATCAATAAGCTTCTTTGGGTTCAAAGACCTATGCCAGTACTGGCAAGTTGTAATCGGAGTTGGAAGAACAACTCCAGCGGTGTAAGCTGCTTGCCATATGTTCTCCAAATGCACCCTCCTCGTGACCTCCTTGATCATAACTGGTGCAAGTCTCTTCGACCTCAGCTTCTTATGCACACATAAGAAATTAATCTCAGCCATTTTCACGATTGCATCACGGACCCGGATTCTAGCAGGAACACCAGTAATGAAAGCAACCAGCTTCTTATTAGTCTTTGCACGAACCCCGATATGCCAGCTCTTGTAGTAACCAGGAGGGTGCAAAGCCCACCTAAGAAACTCCTTCGAGTAGTTGAACCTAAACATGTTCTCATCATCCTCGACATAATTGTTCTTCAGCAGATTGTAGACCTCAGTGCAGGTGTCTTCCGAGTCCAGATCACACGTGGTCCATTCATACTGAGTTGGCAGATTGTACGGCTCTTGCTTGACCTCAGACAACGGGGTAGGGGGCTCAATCGGTCCCTCAGGCAAACTCACATCCCCAAGATCCTTAAACTGCCCAACCGGTTGAGTCTCCCAAAATGTGTGCTTTTTCCCAACCGACATCGAATCTTGGAACTTTCGGACTAAGGTTTCCAATGAGCTATCATCCTTAACAAGTTGGTTTGCATCAGAATCATGATCTGCCTCCTTAGGAGACCCAGGTGGCGAATTGTTATCACTCATTGCAACTACTTAATCGAATCGATTCCTAACCGAAAATCTTTGCTATCTGAATAAAAAAAAAAACAACAGATACAAATCAAGAGCAAGCACACCAAATCCAACCGATTAAAAAATGGGGGAAAATTTACCATACCAACATTTCAAGAATAGCAAATTCCACAGAAAACCCCCCAATATTAATCTTTTCTAATCCAATTCCTATGTTAAAACCGACCCATGACAGTAAAAATCCACACGAACAATCAACAGATCTGTTAAATCTAACGCGAAGAGCGAGAAATGCACTCACAGTTTCAGCGGACGGAGCTCGCGATGCCGTGAGATTGCCGCGATTAGGGCTTAACAGATCCTGATTTCGATTCGGGTTCGTCGAAAAGGAACGAGAATCGCGTAGGGTTTATGGTGGAAGCAAGCGGCTTTGAAGTTGCCGCTGGGGTTGGGGAGAATACAAGGAGTTGCGCTGCTGTATGGATTTCTGCAGCATATTCGCCAACGAGGGACTTTACCATTTTATGATTTTCATCGACTAAACTTTATTTTTGCTATCCATTTTTCTTTTAGTGACATTTGAGGGATTCAACCCTTTGTTACATCCTAATCCTAAACAAATACCGCGGTTTCACTGTCACGTATTGTTGTTAATTAACGATATCCACTTAAAATTTTTATTTTAATTATTTTAAGTTAATATAGATAATAATTGAAAATAATATTAGAAAAAATATTTTTAAATTCTAAAAGCACTTGCTTCTTATTTCTTAAAAGAAACACCAATTATTTAGAAAGCACTTATTTTTCTAGAATTGTCGTTTTAAAAACACTTTCAAGCAAATTTATGTCGGGTACAAAATGTTTTTGAAATTTCTATCCTAATTATCGATCACGTGAGAGCGAAGATAGAGAAGGAAATGCAACTAGGATTTATTGGGGGAGTTGCATAAAATGTTACAAAAACAAATTAAATGCCATTTCAAGTTGGATTCCACCCTCCCTATTGGATCCAAACGTCGGCCTCAATCTCGTGTACCACTACCGAACCAAAGCTTGGGCGATGGGCCTACAGTACACACGAGAAAATCCCATTAAAATGTGTTCTTCCATATCCAGCCCACTTATGATTTGAGCCTAACCGGTTAGTCCATGTTTGATTTCCGCTCCACCAGAAGCCATGGCCAAACACTGAAAAATGCTCAGAGATTTTCACCAAGCTCAGCTGAATTTCCTGCCTTCCGCCACCAAATCAACCACCAGGTGCGGTGACGCAACGAACTGGGACGAAGAAGTGTACAGAGAATCCATATTAAAGGAGATGGAGATCCAAACCCGAAGCGTTTGGGCTCAGTCGCTTAACCCTAGCCCCGAAACCGTCGTCGTCGCCTCCAGCTACGGATCGGTTTCCTCCTACTCCATCCCCTTCCTCATCTCCAAGCTCGTACGTCCTCATTTTAAATTTTTTAATTTTAATTTTGTAATTTTTGTAATTTTTGTATTTGGATTTTGGGTGCAGCCACTGGGTTTTAGCAATGTGAAAGCTCCACAGTAAGTATTGCCTGACCTTTACATTGTTTGTGCTTCTTCGACGTTGTATTGACTGTTGATAGCAGCTGATTTTTGCTTTACTTGTGGTGGAATTTGAATTTTGGTTGTAGGTTGTTAATGGCGGAACTTACTTGCTAAGCGCATGGAGGGCCTGCTTACGATGTTAAGTTTTACGGAAATGGTGAAGATTCTGTTTTGCTGAGGTTGGATTGTATGTTCATACTAAATTGACTAGAAAGAACCATTTTCTTTTAGTAATTTCTTTGTTTCAGCATGTTTACACCATTTGATTTTTTTCTCGGAGTTTTTACATGTAGTTGCGGCGACGATGGACAGATTCAAGGATGGAGGTGGAAGGATTGCGAAGAATTATGTGTGCCTCTTCATTTGCAAGGTGATTTCGGTTTTTGACGGCTTAAATACTACCTATTTCACTAACATTGCATTGCGTTTTTTAATCCGATATGTTGTTTTTGTGTGTGAATTTTGAATGTGGTTCTAACTCCATGGATTAAGATTTACTTTATTTACATTTGTTTTCCTGTTTATGTAGGAAAGCACGTGAAGCCAGTACTTGACCTTGTGAATCCTCAACATAAGTAAGTTACTGAAACGAAAAAAACACGTGGTGGCAACTCTTTTGTTCCCCTGATTGTGTTAATATTGATTCGAACATGGGTTATGATAAGTCCCCAGCATTACTTCCTTTGACATTTCTTGTAAATTACTGCCGTCTTTTTAGAGGTCCATGGGGGGCTTTATCTCCAATCCCTGAAAACAATGCTCTTGCTGTTGATAACAAGGTATGCAGGTTTTCTAGTCCTATGTGTCTTTTTGTTTTATTTTTTAAGTTAATTATTTTGATGAGTATAGAAAGGAGTATGTTTTCAAATGAGTGCGTTAACATCTCTTTGACAACGATAGGAGGGATGCATTTTTTCAGCTGCTGGTGATTCTTGCGTCTATTGCTGGGATGTGGTATGCATTTGTTCAAGGTGAATTTTCCAATCGTGTTACGAAGTGTCTGTCGAGAAACATTTTTGCATATTACATTGTTCTCGATCTAATTTCCTAGATGACTGATCCAAGCATGATTTGTATCAGAAATGTTTCAGGAAAGAGGTCAAGTCAAATGACTTTCAAGGGGCATGCATACTACGTGCATTCTGTTGTTGCTCGGAATTCTACCAATCAGGTCAGGTCATATTCTTCTTTGTCTTCAGTTGATCATTCCTGTCACTTCTCTTTGTTCTGAGTTATGTTAATTGTTATGCAAACAACCACCCCTTTTAGTACAATTGGAGCGACAAGTATCAGAATTAACAATTACATTAGTAGCACTGTGTATTGAGGTACTAGATTTGGTGCAGTATTTTTCTCTCTGAATGTGATTCTTTTGATCTTTGCATCAGAAACTTCAACAGAAGGTTCCAAACTGATAAACTCTGAACCAGTTATGATCTGAATACCGGAAAAGATCAAAAGAATCACATTCAGAGTTCAGAGGATGGGGCAGCACGGAGATGGGGTAAAAACCTAGCTTTTTTTTTTCAATTTTGAAGGATTGTGGCAGAAAATTGTTAAGAATTTATTGTTTTCCTTTACAGTTAGTATGATTTTGTATTAAGTCACATGAACTTGTTCTTAGAAGCATGCGTTTATGGTTTCACCCAGATTGCAAAAGTGGAAAGTGTGTTCAAGTATATGAGCCAGCCAAGGGTATTAAATTGAAAGGATTTTTTGCGTGCGTTAGTTGCATTGCTCTTGATGCAAATGAAAGCTGGTTGGTAAGCATTTATGTGATGAGAATGTAGTTGCTTTAGTACCATTAACTAATTCTGTTGAAGTTTCTTGCTGCTATAACGTACTAAGTTTTTTGTCTTCTGTAGGCTTGTAGTTGTGGTCAGAGTTTATCAGTTTGGAACCTTCTTGCTTCTGAATGCATTTCAAGGGTTTCAACACGTGCATCCATACAGGATGTAGTATTTGACGAAAATCAAGTGAGATCCCCCCTCAGCCCTCTATTAATTAATTTAGTTAATACTGTTGGCATCTAGTGCTATTAACAAGAAATATTTTAGTTTAAAGGGGAGTGAATTTTCTAATGGTGCCATATCCCGTTTCCAAGCAAAAGGGTGTAAGCAGTAACTCTGTTGGTTTTCGTTTGTTAAGGATATTAAACTAAGTTTCTTAACGGGATAAGTTGAATTGGTAAGATATCAGCAAATGAGCGATGATTTCTCTTTAGATTATTAGATGATGATACAGTGATACTGTCCCTAAATCTTCAATGCCAACGAATGGGGCTGGAAGTAACATGTTTGTATACTCTCAGTGATGGAAGCAATAAGCATAAGAATACATTATGCCTGGGGCCTGTTATAACTTGTAAAGAAATGCTAGTTTGTAGAAAATAGGCACGAAGGAAATCCAATATCCCAAGTTCACTGTTGCTTCTCGTTTCCAGGTATTAGCAGTTGGAGCAGAACGTCTACTTTGCCGTTATGACATAAATGGGGCAATTCTATCAAAAATGCAATGTGCTCCTCAGTCTGCCTTTTCCATCTCATTACATCCATCTGGGGTACGTTTAACTTAATGTCTCTTTCCCCTTTATTATTTGTTAATAACTTACACTAAGGCGTTTTCTGTCTTAAATGTTGGTCTTACCAGCATTATCCTTGGATTTAAAAGATTATGCATGTCAAGGTAGGTCGATTGACACGAGTGATAAAAATCATCCAGCTTTTCAAATCCTTTTGCATAGCTTTTGTACTCGACTCAACAACTATAAATAGTCGGCATGGCTAGCATAAACCTTCAATATTCTTACTTAGCTGCTAATGCCAATATTACAAATGAAAGAGCATGCTGAGGGACATGGTCTGGGACTCTAGGTTGAAGTTAATACACATAAACAATAAGAACGAGAAAGAGATTTCTAGCTTCATAAGTTACCAAAATCCGTTTTTAGTTCTCACGTCAATGAACCATTGTTTTGTCCAGGTTATCGCAGTAGGAGGTTACGGTGGTCTTGTGGATGTTATGTCGCAGTTCGGAAGTCACTTGTGCACATTTGGCTGCCGATGTGTTTAAAAAGAGTTCACTTGTCCTGCAGTTTTAAGAGGCAGTTGAAAGATGAGTATTGCGTGGCCACTCTGGAAAAGTTATTGTGGGTAAATATTGTAAAGCATGGATCTGCCGAGAGTACCACATTTTTTCAGAAGCTGTAAAATTTGTTCCGACCTTGTTTAAACCGTAAAGGTTGTAAAATTACTAATTGGCCCAATTTTTTAGCTTCTTAAGGAAAAAAGTATCCAGACAGTAAAGATGTAAGAAGTGGGGTGGCGCGATCCACCCACTTTTTTTTTACCTTCTATTCTATGCGCTTTTTTTCGATTTTAGGCTGTCAAATCGAATGAACTGAAGAAGATCAAAGAACATAAATTAACAAAGTGTGTGTAGAACGTCAAAATGAACATGTGAGATATTGTCTTGTTTATGTTAAACTGTAATTTGCAGTTAAAGAATAATAGATAACGTCTGGTACGGATTTTTTCTTTTCCTTCCATGTTTTTGAGACGGATTTGATTTTTAAAAAAAAATTCAATTGGGCCCTAATCTTTTATTTGAGGCCCATAAACACGTGCAAATTTGTTTCAGTTCGTTTTATTCTCCTATTCCACTCCCGCCAATCAATGCCCGCCACGTACCCGAATCGAATCTGGAGGAACGCGAAGACCGTTCTCCCTTCGAATTGCAATTAACCCTATACAATCACAAACCCTGACTGGCACGGTTTTCACTTCTCTCACTCGTCAAACGCCCAACCCCTCTCTCTCTCTTCCTCCTTCGCGCATTCCTTAACTCCGCGGCTTAGATCCGAGGAGTTCGGGAAACCCTAATTTCCAGAAAAACCAGTACAAAGCTCTCTTCCGTTGCTCTCTATCTCTCTTCGCCTTCAACTTTCTGACTCATCACCCGCAGGTCTTCCTCCCGTGCCTTTTCGCTTTGTATTTTTTGCACTCGTGCCGTTGTTCGATCCTGTTCTATCTGGGTTGTATTTTCGTACCGAAAATATATAGACTCTGAATCGGCATGTGTCCGTACTCCGTTGATGATGATTTGTTGTGAATTTTTGTTGTTTGATTTGATTTTTCCTAAATATTCAGTAGGATAATTTCTGCTTTTTTTTTAATTGTTTTAATCTACTTAGATTTGAGAATTAATTTTGCATAAATCTTTTAGTTCGGTGTTTTTATGGGTACGTTGCGTGTTTATCCTATATTTTGATGTGAATCTTGTCGTTTTGTTATGCCTGTGAAAGTTTGGAATTCTCGCATTATTGCTGCTAATGCTGTTTAAGCCTTGATTTCTATGATATTCTCGTATTAGTGGTCCCAAAGAGAAGAGTTTTTTTATGTAAAACTTTGTTTTGAGTTCTCAATTTTTTGATACAAAAGTGCTTGACGATGGATATATCTGTAGAATTTAGCATCTTTGAATAGCTGTCTGAACTGGTTGTGAAGATTTGTGGAGTGTTTTTATTTTAAATATATTTTTGTTGTAATTTGCAGTCATGGCAGCAGCACCTGAAGGATCGCAATTTGACACTCGTCAGTATGATACCAAAATGAGCGAATTGTAAGAATTCTCTCAGTTTATACTTATTAACTGCATGTTTTGGGTGTCTACGAGTACTGCTCTTGGATGTTTTCTTTATTATGTTGTTTAATATAACTTGTCACATCAATTTGGCAGCTAACTGTTTCTCTTGTGTTTGGTAAATTGTTGTATGCAGACTTGCAACTGATGGGCAGGAATTCTTTACATCATACGATGAAGTTTATGATAGTTTTGACGCTATGGGTCTTCAAGAGAATCTTCTCAGGGGAATCTATGCTTACGGTAGATACAACTAGCCTTTACTCTTTTCTCTTTTTTTATTAGGTTATGTATTTTATGGTATCAGGAAAAATTGTAGAACTTTTCTATTTTAATGTCTTCATGAAGTTTTTTATTTTTTCTTTTGTGTTTTCTATGGACTGGTGAATGATTGAATGAACGATAATTCTTTTTGCAGGTTTTGAAAAACCCTCGGCTATTCAGCAGAGGGGAATTGTTCCCTTCTGCAAGGGTCTTGATGTGATTCAGCAGGCTCAGTCTGGAACTGGAAAGACAGCAACTTTCTGTTCCGGTATCCTTCAACAGCTTGATTATAGTTTGACAGAATGCCAAGCCTTGGTTCTTGCACCCACTCGAGAGCTTGCTCAACAGATTGAGAAGGTTATGAGGGCTCTTGGAGACTATCTAGGTGTAAGGGTGCATGCTTGTGTTGGTGGAACCAGTGTCCGTGAGGACCAACGCATTCTGTCAAATGGAGTGCATGTTGTTGTTGGAACTCCCGGTCGTGTTTTTGACATGCTTAGAAGGCAGTCACTTCGTCCTGATAGTATCAAGATGTTTGTTTTGGATGAGGCTGATGAAATGCTTTCCCGTGGTTTCAAGGATCAGGTCTGTTTTCAACTTAATTGTGTCCATTTGTTTTATGTGTTCCCTTGATTTTTATGGATGCATTATGTTCTGCATAATGATATTTTAGGTAAATAATGTTCTTCTCATGTGCAGTGATGAAACAATAAATAGTATATCTTGTGACTAAGTAATTGCTCTGTTGGGTTGTCGGGTAGGAAATTTTTTGGTAACTGTTCTTTTTCTACTTTTCATGTTTCTCCCTACCAGGCGTTTTAGAAATATCCATTTAAATTTCAGAATATGAAATATGTTGAGTGGCTGAGCTGTCCTCTTGTTCTGTATAGATACTTTCTTTTTATATGTATGATTGCACCACAGCTAGCTAGAGTAGCCTGCTCCACCAATACGTTGCTTAATTATTTGGTTTGGGCTACATTGAGATATTGCATCCATTGGAGTTCCTTTTGGTTTTCTGAAATCAATACAATTTTGTAATTAAAGTTCTATCTAATACGAATTCTTTTGGGTATCTAGATCTACGATATATTCCAGCTTCTTCCATCAAAGATTCAGGTTGGTGTGTTCTCTGCGACAATGCCGCCTGAGGCTCTTGAGATCACAAGGAAGTTCATGAACAAACCTGTGAGGATTCTAGTGAAGCGTGATGAGCTCACCCTGGAAGGTATAAAGCAGTTCTATGTCAATGTCGACAAGGAGGAATGGAAGCTTGAGACTCTTTGCGATCTTTATGAGACCTTGGCCATTACCCAGAGTGTCATTTTTGTCAATACTCGACGCAAGGTTGACTGGTTGACTGACAAGATGAGGAGCAGAGACCATACAGTTTCTGCCACCCATGGAGACATGGACCAGAACACCAGAGACATCATCATGCGGGAATTCCGTTCTGGGTCATCTCGTGTGTTGATCACCACTGATCTTTTGGCTCGTGGTATTGACGTGCAGCAAGTCTCCCTTGTTATTAACTATGATCTGCCCACCCAGCCCGAGAACTACCTCCACAGAATTGGTCGTAGTGGACGTTTTGGAAGGAAGGGTGTTGCCATCAACTTCGTAACAAAGGATGATGAGAGGATGCTGTTTGACATCCAGAAGTTCTATAACGTGGTTGTGGAGGAGCTGCCATCAAACGTCGCTGATCTCCTCTGATGAGATTTTGTCTTCTTAATTACTCAAGGAAAAATCCGGTAGTAAGTGTTGATTTGATTGAAGTTTATTTTCTGTTTTTCGTCCATTGAGGCCGCCACATCCCGCCATTTTGTGTCTTCTCTTATATTATTATAGAGTCTAGTTATTTAATTTACGGTTGTTGGATTAATTTAATTAAAGTCGCACAAGTTAAACTTGCAATGTGAAAACCTTCATTGCCTGAATTGGTTGTGGTGGCCAATCTGTTGTTGCATACTTTCTACCATATTATTAATGTATGTATTTTTTTGAGCTATGAATTTTTCTATGCTTTAAATTTGGTTTTGAATGTTCTTTGTGCCGTTGTATGTTCCCATCAGTCACAGTACAATGTCACAGTTGCATCCCATGCTAATGATACAATGCTAATGATACAATGTCATGTTGAGAGAAACAAGCACGTCGAATCATTGGCATAGGGGACGCCAGTGTTGGCGTACCCTTGTCATGCAAGTCTTTCTGTAACAATGACTCCTCCTAACCATCCGTGCAAATTATGGTGATAATGTATTGTCAAAGCGGGTTGGGGTAATATATATTACACCGGTTGGCTCTTTGCATGAGAAGAGAAGAATTGTTTCTTAATTCTTCGTACTTTTAAATCAGTCTTAACACGTGCAAAGTGAAAGCATTTTCTTTGTTTCCTTAGAGCAGTTTCACCGGGGAACTGATAGGCCAGTACCCAGCCAAAAAACCAATTCGACACCCAGGCTATCCATTCCAGCCGAGCATTTTGACCGGCACCCAGCCCAAGCCAAGCAAGAGACCGGCCTAAAATCGACAGACCCACATGCTGGGCCATTTGACGTCAGCTGGGCCATCAACCTCCCGCACGATCAATGCATCGCAGAGCTCCTCGGGGCGGAGGGAGATTCCGAGGCCTTGGTGCAGAGCAACGTTTTCTCTTCCTCTCTATTTCACATTTTATATGTTTTCGCGTTATTTGTTTTTTTGTAATGCTCTCAAGAGGAGAGAGAGAGAGAGAGGAGAAGCAGAAGCATTTCGGACCATTTTCCATTGTTTCCGATGCTCGCTTTCTCTCTCAGGTACCCACCATCACACACACCCTCTCTCTCTAGAATTTTTTTTGTTGATATGTTTCTAGGGATTTGATTCTTGAATTGGGGATTTGTTATATTTGTTGAATTTTTGTTGGTAAGAGTTCTACTGGAACCGGAGGTTCCTGACTTATCCTTTTTCTTTATAATAAAAATAATAATATTTTAATAAAATTTACTAGGCTATTTTTTGTTAGGGGTGGAGATGTTTTGGCGTATTACTGTTTACAAGGGTCTATTATTGTTTACTTGAGTGAATAAATACGTTGGGTGCTGGCGCAAAGTCTTTAAAGGTGGAATTACTCTTAAAGAAGAAGTAAGAAAAGATTATGGGGAAAATTTCCTTTTACTTAATCTTCGGCATCCTCTTATTTCCTTGTTTAATTAAGGAAGAAGAAAGACTGTTGGTCTGTCTTTAAGCTTTACCATAATTGTGGAGTCAACATCTAGTTTGCGGTGTCGGCCTTTTTAACATGATTCTTGGAACCGGGCGCCTTTGACCCTAATATGAAACGACAATGACATAACCGCGTTTTGATTTGACATGCCCCTCCCCTTTGTTGGATTTGGATCCTCTCCTGAGCTAATGGAGAGGATCCTCCTGACCCATCATTGTGGACAAATCCAACGGCTATAATTATTATAACTTTAAAAAGACTCTCTATTTATAACCGTTGGATAAAAATCCAACAGCCCAAGATGATGGATCAGGAGGATCCTCTCCATTAACCCAGGAGAAGATCCAAATCCCCCCTTGTTAAAGTCTCTTTGTCGGTCAATAATGTATTAGGATTAAGGCATCAATTGGATGGAAGGCAATGCGATGACGAAATGAAGACCCACAAAAAGCATTATTCCTGGGTTTTTACTCTAAGCTTCTGCTAATTTTGCTAAACCAAATAATTGTCTAGTCATTATCATTGCTATAGAACTGACCATGAAGGGTAGAACCTTAAGAAAAGGGATCCTCTCCGGATCCTGTAATTACAAGTAGAAAAAAATATTACTAAATCATAATATTAAATTATGTAAGAAATTTTAGATAGAGAAGATAGTTGATCGAACTGCATGGTAAGAAAAATCTCACACTAAATGAGACCAAAATATAGTTGGGCAAATATTTTTAAGTGTTCCAATGTACGGATACTTCAATGTTTTTAAATATTAAATCTTGAATTTTGTATTTTTAAACAAAAATTTAACAATTAAAACATTTATGTACCGGATAGTTTAGAGCGTTCAAAAATGTCTCTTACTAGGGAGGGTCTCTTGCTAAGAGGCATGGTTTGTATACACATAGTCGGAGTCTTGCTCTCCTAAGGTCCTCATTTTGAGGACCTGTGAGGACAAATGCATTATTAGTCAAAAAAATTATATTAGTTTATATCCAAGGGCTAAAAATATTTGGCAACATAATAAAGCAAAACAAGAAAATGAGTTTTCTAATGGTTCGAGGATTTTAAGTTGGCTTTGCTTGATTAAGTTGTCAAATATTTTAGATCATTGATCTGAAATGATATAATCTTGTGGCTAATATGCATTTGATTCTCACATGTCCTCAAAATGAGAACCTTAAGAGAGCAAGATTGTAGTCGGACATCCTTGCACAAATATTTATTCACATCTCACGATGTACTTTCCCATATAAAAAAAAAAATTCAGCATCTTTTAATTGGATGCTACCCTAAAAGTGTTTGAAATATGGATATAGTAAAATATTAACATGCAATTTTATGAAAATATTGATGGATATAATTATATATGTCATTTTCGATGAAAATTGACAATCAGGTGTGTACATCAACTCATTGATATAGAGTTGTTTGCATTCACACCTCCTAATCGACCCTTGATTTTATTTATTTTTATTTAGAAGGTAGTATCGATAATTTCGTAAATATTTTGAAGATTGACTTAAGCTAACCTATTTTGTTAAGGTTAATGTTAGAGAGACTAAATTTTTAGATAAAATTTTTTAAACTAAATGACATAGAAGTTAATAATTGAGTTAGTACTTTTTTCTAAGTATAAATAATTGAGTTGAGTTAGTACTTAAGCATTGATAAATGTACACATTTTTATCAATGACAAATCATATAATTTATAAATTTAGTCTAAAAATTTAGTCAGATGATATTATCGGTTTTGTTAATTTAATAGTTAAATAGTAATTTGGGTTGGGAAGTAGCGGGAGCCAAGGAAAGGAAGGACCGGGAAGCGGTTTGTATGCACAAAGCTCCACGGGACCAGGTCTGCAGCTTCCTGCCTTCCTCCCTCTTCCCCTGTCACACTCTTACACGACGATACTGTTTTTCGTTAACCGCCCGCTTGTCGTTTTTCCCCCTTCTACCGGCCCTCCTCCCTCCCTCCCTCCCTCCCTCCCCCACTCTGACATCATCGCTTCGTCATCATACCTGCAATCGCCAGCTCTCTCTCTCTCTCCTCTGTGTGTTTTTGGTGCTTATTATATAAAGACCGCTCAACTTTCCCAGTCATTCACCGCCACTTCGCGAATTTTCTCGCACCCCATTTATTCTTCCTCTTTATCTTTTTCCATTTGAAATCTCTCTCTCTCTCCCTCTCTCTCTGCATGAACTCTCTGAAATCTCGCACCCCATCATTTATACTCTGAAATCTGTCTCTCTCTCTCTGTTCTCCCTCTTTCTTCATCTCTCTGGGAAAACATATATTACATATAATTTACATATATATTGGCGGTTGTGTCATGGCGATGGCGGATTCGCCTGAGGCAGTAGTCATCGCAGGCGCCACCACAAGCCCCCGCGCGGACTCAGATCTCAACCACACGCTACGCCGCAGACCCTCGGCCTCCACCGTGGCGGAATCCGATTCCTTGAACGATTTGGTTAGGGACTCCGGCGGTGATGACTCGGTTGGCGCCAAGCTCGGCGGCGGCGGCGGCGGCGATAACGGCCGTATTGGAGGCTCTGACGGCTCGGCTGAGTCCGTCAATGCTGTTCAAGACAAGAAGGGACTCGGCGAGAATGATCGGGGCGGTGATCCCTCGGCCGTGAAATTTGCGTATCGGCCGTCCGTTCCGGCTCATCGGAGAGTTAAGGAGAGTCCTCTCAGCTCTGATGCCATCTTCAGACAGGTATTTAAGCCTTGCTTAATTTCACTTGTAATTAGTGTCGTTAATCCGTGATTAATTACCAGTTATGAAAATGTTTGCTGGGTAACAAGTTTTTGTCTTTTAGCGTTCTGTGGAGCTTGAAGGAGATGCTAATTGCAAGCTTTGATCTTTTTTGTTTGGTTTGCACTTTTGCAGAGCCATGCCGGTCTCATCAATCTGTGTATAGTAGTACTTGTTGCTGTAAACAGCCGGCTAATCATCGAGAATTTAATGAAGGTTTGCCATGTGCCCGCGTCCTTTGTTTTTTGGGCTAACTTTACGCCCTTTGATAATGTTGTTTTACGGACATTTATAGAGATTTCTGACTGTTCAATTATTGTTGCAGTATGGTTGGTTAATTAAAACTGGTTTCTGGTTTAGTTCAAGATCATTGCGAGATTGGCCACTTTTTATGTGCGGGTAATGTTTCCTTTTATTATGCTTCGATACGGTGTTTGGTTTAAGATACTTAGTTATCGTTACCATCTTTGAATTACAAGTGGTGGGAAATTTATTCGGCTTCTTTGTTCTTTCATTTGCAGCCTTACTCTTCCTATCTTTCCACTTGCGGCCTTTGTAGTTGAGAAGTTAGCGCAACAAAAGTGTATATCTGAAGCTGTGAGAAACTCATTTTGTACTGCTTTAAAAAATAGGTCTCCGCAACTCTGTATCTGAAATCTGAATTTCTTGTCTGGCATTGCAGGCTGTTGTTTCTCTTCATATAGTCATTACAACAACTTCAATTTTGTATCCGGTTGTGGTGATTCTCAGGTCAGTTTGAACTCACTGCAAATTAAGCTTCCATTAGTTGCATTCCCCGATTTTTGGTATTAGTAGGAGGTGTAACCAGTTATTGTATCTTGGCCATGGTGCTGATTGGAGGATTTGGGTTTGAACTCTCACTGTTACGTTCTCGTTTCTGGTCCATGACATTTATTTCAGTGCTTTTCATTTATTAGCGTATTTTCTGGATTTGCAATCTTGTCCCAGTTCTTGAAAGATGCTTGTTTCTGTGGAGATCTTAGAAACTTCATTGAGGGGATAAGTACTTAAGCTGAAATTGACATTGGATGGAAGTACTGCCTGAAAGATTGTGTCTTTATGTAATAGGAAAGGCTCTTTAAAAAGAAATTGATTGATGGCATCTTTTAGCTGGCTAATATGTGAATAGCAGTGAAAATTTTGCGTTTATTTTATTTACTTCATTTCTGCAGGTGTGATTCTGCAGTTTTATTTGGTGTTGCGTTGATGCTCTTTGCTTGCATCGTATGGTTAAAACTCGTATCTTATGTGCACACAAACTATGATATGAGAGCACTTCACATAGCAGTTGAGAAGGTAACTATGAACTTGTGAATAAGGTTTTTATTTAACAGTGAATATTGTCTTTTCCTTTCCCGCTTTTTAGATTAAATATGAAGTTTGAAGAAAGTTTAAAAAGGTCCTAAATCTTAATAGATGTTTTCTTCCTCGAGGAGATGTTTAATGTTCGTCAACAGTTTTTTCTTAATAAATGATTGTTTTCTAATTCTTGAAGTCCTTGACTGATTGCAGGGGGATGCCACACCTAGTTCTCTGAATACAGATTACCCTCATAATAACAATTTAAAAAATATGGCATACTTTATGGTCGCTCCAACATTATGTTACCAGGTAATTGCACTACTATTTCATAAATTAACCTAGGTTTTCTTATCCGTCAATCCTTATTCAGAAAGTACAAATTTATGAGTTTTGATGCTTTAGTCAGTTTAAGTCACCTGTTCTTGTATGTGTTTGCCTTTCCCTTGCCTGTTTTAAAAATGAAAAAGAATATGGCATTTTTTACAAACTGAACAAATATTTTCCCTCAGTTATAGACTGTCATGCGGTCTCTTAAACTTCATATTTGCTCCAACCTGGTGTTGTGAGTTTTGCCGTTACAAGTTTGAATTCTGCTTTAATTTTCTTTATAACTCTTATATTTTCACGACTCATTATTGTTTAATTAGTATGTAGGTCGAAGATGGCTAAATTATTTATTTTTCATTTTAAAATGATATTAAATGAATCATCGGAAAACAATATGATTATTTTCTTACGGTATATTATTGGCATCCTTAATTAAAAGAATGGTAATTCATGTTTTAGTCTTTAATTTGTGGTTCTTATCATATGAGATTAACTTGTACATTACATGATTAATGGAGAACTGAATTTAATTTTGATTTATCTGACCCTTGTTTCAGACTAGTTACCCTCGCACAGCATGTGTTCGAAAAGGTTGGGTGTTTCGTCAACTTGTGAAGTTGATCATTTTTACTGGAGTGATGGGATTTATAGTAGAACAAGTAAGTTGGTATTTGTTGTTTTCAACAAGCTTTTAATGCTCTTTTATTTCATTTTGATTATTAATGAATTCTGCCATGTGTATTTATATGCAGTACATCAACCCTATTGTCAAGAATTCAAAACATCCTTTGAAGGGGGACTGGTTATATGCCATAGAGAGGGTTTTGAAGCTTTCAGTTCCCAATTTATATGTGTGGCTATGCATGTTCTATTGCTTTTTCCACCTCTGGTTCGTCTTGTTTCATCATCCTCCTTTTTTTTTCTTTCTGATGTCTCTATAGCTGCTTGGAAGATGCTTGTTATACTAAGTTTGCACTTTCATTTCAGTTTTGAGTTTAAGCTTACATCCAGTGTTATAAATATAGGTTAAATATTGTTGCTGAGCTGCTTTGTTTTGGTGATCGGGAGTTCTATAAAGATTGGTGGAATGCAAAAACTGTTGAGGAGGTGTGTTTTATGTTATATGCAATTTATTCTTAGGTTATGTTATTACAGCTCCTTGCTGAATTACAAATTTTACTGTTTACTTTTGTTGCATGGCTCTTCTGGTGGCTGTCATCAGTATTGGAGAATGTGGAACATGGTATGTATGTTTAACTCTAATTCAGTTGTTATCTTTTCTCATATATTTAAAGTACTACGATAAATTATTGTTTTGACTTCCATTCGATATCATTTTGAATCTAAGTTGCTTATGGGACTCTAGTGAGTTTGGATTTTAATGTGTTTGAATTTGTATCAAAGAATAGGTGTATTAGCATTATCGTTTAATAAGGGTTATAACTTATAAGCCTGAAAAGAGGCTGTATAAGCCCAATTTCATGGTCATCAAAGCTGCCATGTAATGACAAAACGCAGTTAGATGGTATCTGTTGTTTACATTTTACAATGATAACAACCCTCTCTATCCCGCTTGCCTTATTCACGAGGCAGCTGGATGCAGTGAAGACTTGAAGTTGTGTATATAACTATATATTGACTTATTTGAAAGAGCGCTTGTGGCCTTGTAGTTCTTATTTATGCTAATGCTCAAGTAAAAGTGTAATACTGATTGGGTGTATTCATTTCAGCCTGTTCATAAATGGATGGTTCGCCACATCTATTTTCCATGCCTACGTCACGGAGTACCCAAGGTATATAATCTCTCTTTATTTCAATATTAAGTGATGCGTGATGGATGTACCTTTAATTTGTTTTAGAAAGTAGTAAGTACAAAACTAATTTGTTTTTAATTCAGGGAGTTGCCATCGTAATCGCCTTCCTAGTATCTGCCGTATTTCATGAGGTATTTGCTTTGTTTCTGTGAGTTTAATGTTGCTATTTAGTGACCCTTTCCCTCAGGATAATGACTATTCTATTGCTCCTCCCTTCATCATATTCTATTGTCCATAATGAGAATTAGCACTCTCTCGTTTTGGAACGTGAGTGTTGGTAGAAAGTGGGATTCTGGAATTTGATAGTGTCATGATTATATGAACGACTTATAGGATTTGAAACTGAAAGAATGGCTTTGAAGCATGTCATTTGAATCAAGCGAATCATCATCTTAGTACTAACCAAGACTTAAGCTATTTAGATGTACACCACCCTGGAACGTGCACGCTTGGTAATTTGCTTTTATAAAGTAATTGTTAGCAAGCACAAACTTGAAGGGTTATGCTACCATTGTTTGTCGAAAGGTATTGCTGATCAAACACTCCTGATTACCTTACAATAGTAGAATACCCATACACGTAAGAATGAATTCCGATGTCTTTAGGTAATCGCAATATGAGCTCTTAACATTTGATTTGGGCCAAAAGCTAAAGACTAAGTTTGAGCATGGAAATATATAATTATATTAGAACCAGAGCTCCTCATCGTGATCACCAATGCAAACTCCACGTGAAACATTATCTGGGGGTCATCTGAAATATTTCCCCCTTCTGTTTTGTGTCTTACTCGGATCTGAATTCTCATGGCTTGTTTCTACAATGAACCTTGCATAGCTGTTTGTGTTTCTATTATCTTATCCAATATTTTTTTACTTGTCTCCAGCTATGCATAGCTGTTCCCTGCCACATTTTCAAGTTGTGGGCTTTTATCGGAATTATGTTCCAGGTAAGAACATTTTAGTTTCCTTGCCACATTTATGAGTCCTACTCATATTGATGATCAATGGTCCTAATTTTCTTTTGTTGCGTTTTCGTCACAGGTACCACTTGTCTTGATCACAAATTACCTGCAAAATAAATTCAGAAACTCGATGGTATGTCCTTGTTTTAAAACATACTATTGCAGAAAAGTCATATTATTGTAGCATAGTTTTGCCTACTCAGTTGGGCGTTAGCCACCAGTTAAATATTTAGTTTCTAGAGAGAATTAAATACTTGGAGCGGTCCTGCTGGAGGGATAGGGGTATAATGCATCGTTCTTCTAAGGAATTTCCATGAACCCCAAATTCTACATTTTTCGAAAGTAAACCCCGCAATAATAGTACCTGTAGGCCTTTAATTTTTTTTAACTAGTTCCGGTACTCTATTCGTGCTCTATGGATTGTTGAGGGCACATATACTTTCGACATGTCTGAGTTCTATTCACCCACTTACGCCATGCTTCATGATAGATCCAAATTCATACCATTTCGATACTGGTAATGTTTTGATCACGTTTTTGAATCTTATTTCCAGGTGGGAAATATGATCTTCTGGTTCATCTTTTGCATTCTTGGTCAACCGATGTGCCTGCTTCTGTATTACCACGACTTGATGAATCGGAAAGGGAAACTCGACTGAAGGTTTAGTCTCTAAGTATGGATCGAATCGCTCTGGAAGCGGTGTTGCCTTCCGATAAGCCGGCTTTCCTCCTCCGTCCAAGGCAACTCTAACTTATAGCTGCTTCCTCTGGTTTCAACGTTTTCATGTTCCATACGTTTTTCATTTTTCTTTTTTCTTATATATATATTTTTGTTAATTCAATTGATTTTATATACAATTTTGAATATCTTTCTCTAACAGTGAGCTTCTCCTGGTTTAGTTATTGCGGTATATATTTAGTTGGGAATTTTGAGGAAATGGTTTCAATATCATCCCCCAGTCCCCACCCTTATATCATATACCCCGCCTTGAAATGTCTACATCTCTTTTTCTTTTCTTTGGGTCGAAAGAAAGGTCTACATCTCGAATCTTGATGTAAAGCTATTTCAACATGATTTTCACGATATTCTGCGTGCGCACTCGATAAAAAAAATTAAGATTTGTTTAGAAGGGTTTTTAAAAAAGCTGAAAACGCTTTTAGTATAAGTATTATTCGAATTAATCTTTAGTAAAATTGTAAGTGAATTTTGAAAAAAACAATTAAAGTGCTTTGTGCAAGAAGTAATTTGTGCTTCTTGCAGGAAGCGCTTTTGAAACTCAAAAACTAAAAGCATTAAATGAGCCCGTAAACATTTGAAATCAGTCTTTTGATTTATTGATTCACACTTTTATTTTTAAGAATTGTATTAGCACTTTAAAATAGTTTTTTTTTATTATTTATTTTTGGGTTGAAAACAAAAACTTATCTAAATTAGTTATAACAGAATTTTGTGATCATGATGATAACAAATTTATATGAAACGAGCTATACAGCCATATTGTCACAGCCCGTTCCAAATTATTATATTCGTGGCTGTGAATGGACGAAATTGCCCTTAAGAAATACTAAATTTGTGAAGCTCAGGTTGCTAATTATCTAGGTTCCTAAGTTTGAAAATAAAATGGAATTTAATAAGGATGGAACTTAGATTTTTAGGTTAAAATGTTAAAGTTTGGTGTTTGGAGATTGGAATAAGGACCACGTGGGATCCCCACATCCCTCAAAACCCTCCTCATTTCCCGTTCACTGTCTTTCTCTCTCCTCCTTCACGATTTCTCACTCTCTCTGTCTCTCTCCTTCGAACTCACACGGACCACCACCAAAACCACCCTAAATCTATACCAACGTCAAGTTTGAGACCACCATTGGAATCCTGAGGACTTCACGATCACGTTGGTATCCATTTCAGGTAAGTTTTACTTCGGAAAACCTAGATTCTAAACTCCCCATGAAAGTGTACTGTTCATGAGATTTGAATTGGTTGATTTTTAGGACAATCCAAGCTCATAGTGAGCTTAGTGAGGTCCCAAGGAAGCTCGGAGTGCTTCGTTGGAAGTTTTTGGACGTAAGAACACCGAGATCGACAAGTTCAAAGTTTGGCCGGAGCTTTCGAAGCTTTTTCCGGCGAATCCCCGGCGAGTTAGGAGTCGAGGTAGGTATCAATCTCTTCGTCTCGTCAAGTACTACAACTTTCCTTTTTGTTTCACTCAATTTCGTTGAGTATTGAAGAAGTTATACTCATTTGAAAAATACCCAGTTTCCGGCGACCTCCGAGGCTTTCGAGGCAGTTTCCGGCCAAACCACGGCGAACTAGGTGTTTTGCAAGGTACCATTCTCTTTGTCTCTTCAAGGGCTACAACTTTCGTTTTTGAATCACTTGATTTCGTTGAGAAATGACAAAGTTATGGCAATTTGAAAAACTGTTCAGAAAACGGCCGCCGGAAAAACCAGTCCGGCGACCCAAGGAAGAAGAAGGTGCTACAGTAAAAATAAAAAATAAAAATAAAATTATTTTAAAAATATGTCGACGTCCGTGACGTCGAGTAGATCACTGTGGTATATTCATATACCTAAATTGAACACACCGTATGAGAAAAGTTATTGAAGATTGTTGGTTAGGTGTTCAAATAACGTTTTATAGTTTTCACATTTAGGTGAAAATGTGAATTGATGATCCGACCGTTGGATCATCACCAAACTTTGATACGTTATAGTACGTAATATTTGAGGATTATTGGAACTTACGGATTGGGAATCCGAGTTACGGATCTTCCGGAATTGGAATTGTAAGTCCATAATATAAAATGTTATCCTAGAGATATATTGTGGACCTCTGGAAGTTATGGATTTAAAATCTGAGTGGCAGATCTTCCGGATCGAACTACGTAGTGACGTATTTTATATAAGTTAAATATTCTATCGATATGAATTCTGAGGTTGGATTTGATTACTATTCTAGGCGGCGATCGTCGTGACGCCTTGATGTGTGGTGCTAGGGAGTTGTTGGATGAACTCCAGGTGAGTGGGCAGTTTTGTTTTCCGTATATATATATATACTTAACGTTTTCCCAGAAATTGAAAATGCATGAAAATATGTTTAAAATGAAATGCATATGAGTTATGTGGAAAAACGGGAAGTGAAATACCATGCATAGAATTGATATGAAAAGTATATAGAAATGTGAGTTGAAATGCCATGCATGAATTAATATATGATGCATATGTATGAATTGGTGCGGTGGACGCACAGGTAAGAATTGATTTATGATGCATATGTATGAATTGGTGCGGTGGACGCACAGGTAAGAATTGATTTATGATGCATATGTATGAAATGGTGCGGTGGACGCACAGATGAGTATTTAATTACTGTTATGATGATGATGATATATATTGAGCTCAAATCCTGCACCATGGTTTAGTGCTTATAGTATTCACCGCATCGCACGCTCGCCTTGGATCCAAGTAGATGCTAGTCGTACAGTCCACGCGGAGTGGGTACGACAGACCAGTCGCGAGAGTGTTAGTGAGATTCCGACTGGTGGGTGACCTTAGATTATGTGCACAGATGATTTATGAGAAGCACTAGAGCGTAACTTGTGTGCAGAAGGCCGGACGGGTCACAGAGGTGACTCCGGTAGAGTGATAATGATAGATTTTGAGCTCTAGGTTCAACCGTATAGGGCTATTAGAGGGCCTACGGTTGATTACTTTTCTTGCACCTGATATGATTATGTTGATGCATTCATACCTTATTACTGTTGAGATGATGTGGCATGGCATAATTAATATGAGAAATGTTGAGATGACATGGCATGGCATGATTGATAAAGAGATAATGTTGAGATAGTAAAAATGAAGTTTTGAGAATATATATGTATATTTATATTTTACATTTCTGGGAAAGTATACAGGTTTTACGGAGAGGGGTTACAACGTTTTGAGAAATGTTTGGATTTGGAAAAGAATTGTTTTTACTGACCCACTCAATTTTGGTTTTGCGCCCCTCCAGGTTCAGGAATCACAAAGGTGTGGTGACTACGAGGAATTCGACGGTGTTCTGACAGATTGGACAAAATTAGGACTCACCTTCGGGTGTATCAATTTAAATTGTATCTTAAAGCTTCCGTACTGTGCAAATGGTTACGTCACTCTCACGTGACGGCCAGCATGCCCTCCTTCGGGACGGGGTGTGTCAGTTGTATCAGAGCATGGTTGCAATCTTGGACATCTTGAGAAGTTTTATAGTTGAATTCTGTCAGAACTACACCGCCTCGTAGCAAACCACGTAGTTAGAGGAATTTAGTCTCCCTGATTTAGCGGTTTGGGGGAAACTATGATTATGCTGATTCAGTATATTATCAAAATGGACATTTTAAGACGGGTTATGAGTTGAATTTGAATCACCTTATGAAATGATGAACCTGAGGGAGCGGAGTGACGGTTTAACCAATTGGAAAAGATGTTTCATATTATGCAAGTCAAAGGAAATTTCCTTCTGACAGGTGGGTCGAGACGACTACCTGGTTTTGGGTATGAATTTGCATCCTGGTGGAAACAGGAATGTTAATTGTTGTCACCAGAGGAATCAGCCGATTTAAAATTTTTTAAGGAAAAGTTTATCCCTCCGGCATTTATTGATGGTAGTAAACAAGAGTTTACAAATATGAGACAAGGAAGGTGATGATCGAGGATATTATAGAAAGTTTTCAGACTTGCCTCGTTCCATCCAGATATTGTTGTTAATTTGGTGGAGGTGTTATGTTGTTTTTAAGCTGGGTGGCAAAAAGGGAAGTGGTATTTTGGGTGACCACTATCCATTGTAGTTCTTATCAGGAGTATGCTAGATGTTGTTGAGCCTTGAGGACTCTGAGAACATGAGCAACGAGAATAAAGAAGAATAAGAAAAGAATGGGAATTAAAAGAAGACAATAAAGTTAATGATTCGTCATATCAAGAATATCGAAGGATTCAGAGCTTCGAAAGAAGTGAAGCTAGAGTTAATTCTTCCAGCTGAGGTTTTTAATGTCGCTGGTCAGAGTAAAAGTGATGGATATACTGGTAATCCCAGATATTTGAGACAAGGTGTCTCGAGTAAAGGAAATGTACTTTGTGCAGCAGGTACAAAATTAACACTTTGGGAAATGTGAAATTAATGAATGTGTTTATGTGAACAGAAGGGACACAGAGTTGTGAATCGTCCCTAGAATCAGTTGTACTCACAATTTTTCCATGAAATCATAGTGTCGATTCAGCAGAGTTATGGATTTAGTAGTTTGGTCGGATTGACCGTGAGTACAGAGATATTTGATGAGTTATATGTTCAGCCGTACGGACCATGAGAAATGGATTTGACTGACACATGAGAAATTGGTGAGTTATAGGCTAGGCCGTGCCGACCACGCGGAGTGGATCCGGCCGACGTATTATTGAGATAAGAGTTGAATCAACCGTATTGGTCATTCTAGTTGACTTCGGCTGATATATTTCTTATTATGTATGATATTACCTAGAGAGTGGTAAATAAATGTAGTTGAGACGAGTGTATGTATTTTGCATTGAGTGACAAAATAGTAATGTTATATCTTTGTGAGTGGTTGCCTACTTATCGAGACAACGATGATTTATCAGTATTGCGGGCTGCAGACCGTAATATTAATAACTCATTCGTGGATTCGTTAAGCAAGCAACCCGGTAGATTATTTTATGTTAGTATTGTACTTATTTGGAATGCTTAATAATAATAGAATATATATTGTATCAGTTAATTCTGTTCCATTAGATTGGTTGGTTATAATTGTGACAAGACGAAATGTTATGGGAAACCAGTACTTTCCATCGATCTGGATGAACAGAGATTACTTTTGTAAGTATGCAAAGTGGATTGAGTTCAGCCATTATTTATGCTGTGAGAGCAAAGAGATTGTTTTCGAAAGGCTGTCAAAAATACTTAGCTCATGTGGTGCTAAATGATGTTGTTTGGAGTAGTGTGAATAATGTCGAAAGAGTTAGACTTTTCTTGATGTCTTCTCTGAAAGTATACCTGGATTGTCTTCAGGCAGAGATATGAGGTTCATTATTGATTTGTTGCCAGGTATAAATTTATGTTAAAGATTGGTTCATGATGAGTTAAAGGAATTGGAAATTCAGTTGAGAGAATTGGTTGATAAAAGTTTTATTCAACCTAGTACAACACTGTTGAGGAGCACCAGTTTGTGGGTGAGAAAGAAAATGGACTTTAAAGACTATTCCTTGATTATAGATAATGGAGTCGGGTAACGATTGAGAACCGTTATCCATGGTGATGTACTGATGTTTATTTAACCAACTCAAAAGTAATTGCGAAGATTCAAAGATTGAATTGAGATCTGGTTACTACCAATTGAATATTATAAGTGACGTTGATCATAAGATGGTTTTCTGGACTTGTTATAGTTTTTATGAAGTTTGGTGATGCTATATGGATACTCATGCTGTTTTATGAGTTATTGGATGAAGTATTCCAATAATGCCTTGATAAATTGATATCATTTCCATTGAAGATATTCTGGCATATTCTGAGCCAGAGCAGAGTATGTAAACGTATTAAGTCAATGAAGCAAAGATTGAGAGAACGTTAGTTGTATGCTAAGTTTAGCAAAAGCTAAAGTTAAATGGATCAAGTGGCATTCTAAAATTTGTTATGTCTGCTTAAGGTATTCAAGTGAATCCTTAAAGGATAGCAGAAATTGAGAATTTTGGAACAACCACGAGTCGTAATTGAGATTTGGAATTTCTTAGCTTACCAGGCTATTTTGGATGGTTGTGAAAGAATTTTTAGTCATTGCTTTGTCATTAACGAGACTGATGAGAAAAGAGGTTATGTATGAGTGGGAAGGAATTGTAAGCAAAGGATTCAACAACTGAAGTATTTCCTCACTCATGCACGTATTTTAATATTCCCAGAAGATAGCGATAATTATCGGTATATGGTGATGTTACATTAAATGTTCTTGGATATGTACTAATGCAAATGTTAGGGTGATTGCATACGTTTCACGACAAATGGAATCTCATGAGATGAATTACCCTACTAGTGATTTGGAAGTCACGATTACCATCCTTGCTGTGAAGTTATGGAGACATTATATTTTAGTGAGAATGCAAGATTTTACAAATCAAAAGAGTCTTCAATATCCATTACTTGGAAGGATTTTGATATGAGGCAGCGAAAGTGAATTGTATTGCTTAATGAACATGATTGTACGATCAGGGTGATCGTAAAGTTTGTTCTAGCTGAAGCACTTGATAAGAAGACTGCAGTAAGAACTAATATCTAGTACGCTTGCCAAGATTATCTTCTTGTGGATTGGAAATCAATTAAAGTAAAGTTAAGAATGAAAGATCGAGAAGAAGTTATACTTGCTAAGTTTCAAGTTAGGCCTTTTGGTAAGGTCGTACTCGAGACTCAAATGGTATGTGGATACATGAAAACAAAAAGTATGTGCCTAATGCTGAGGATTTGAAGCAAGCAAATATTGGACGAAGTTCACTGTTCAACTTCTGCAATATTCCGAAAGTAATAAGGTTTATCATACCATTTGACATTTTATTGGTCAGCAGATTGAGGCAGAAAGAAATAAACCTTTGGATTGAGACAGCTATTTTCTATTTCGAAACGGAAATGGAAAGAGAATTGGATTACGGAACTGCTAAGTTTCTTAAGTATGTTGGTTGCGCAGTTTCCGAAGTGAAGCCATAAGGTTCATGAAGTGTGTCATGTGTGTGTTTTGTTGACTTGTGAATGGAATATTTCTGGGTAGAGAAAGATTCGATCGAGAAAGAGTTTTAGTAGACCCTGAGACTATGGATGAGTCTCCTCAAAGTATTCAGGTGATTAAGTTAACCTAAAAGTAACCAGGAATGACAAAAGACATCAACAGATGGATATGCCACTAATCGAGTATATAAGGTAAATGGTTTTATATTTTAGAAGTGTTCACCTTAGAAAAGTAGAATTTGGATTGGAAAAAGAAGGTTCTGAGAGTTAAGATAGAGTAAATGGTAAAAGTTTTGTGAAGGAATCATTCAGTGGAAGAAAATTACGTGGGAGAAAAAGAATCGGATGAAAGAAACTTACCGAGGTTGGTATAAGTGTTGATGAATTGGTTGGTTGCTGGAATTTCGGGGACGAAATTCTATAAGGAGGGAAGATTGTCACAGCCCGTTCCAAATTATTATATTCGTGGCTGTGAATGGACGAAATTGCCCTTAAGAAATACTAAATTTGTGAAGCTCAGGTTGCTAATTATCTAGGTTCCTAAGTTTGAAAATAAAATGGAATTTAATAAGGATGGAACTTAGATTTTTAGGTTAAAATGTTAAAGTTTGGTGTTTGGAGATTGGAATAAGGACCACGTGGGATCCCCACATCCCTCAAAACCCTCCTCATTTCCCGTTCACTGTCTTTCTCTCTCCTCCTTCACGATTTCTCACTCTCTCTGTCTCTCTCCTTCGAACTCACACGGACCACCACCAAAACCACCCTAAATCTATACCAACGTCAAGTTTGAGACCACCATTGGAATCCTGAGGACTTCACGATCACGTTGGTATCCATTTCAGGTAAGTTTTACTTCGGAAAACCTAGATTCTAAACTCCCCATGAAAGTGTACTGTTCATGAGATTTGAATTGGTTGATTTTTAGGACAATCCAAGCTCATAGTGAGCTTAGTGAGGTCCCAAGGAAGCTCGGAGTGCTTCGTTGGAAGTTTTTGGACGTAAGAACACCGAGATCGACAAGTTCAAAGTTTGGCCGGAGCTTTCGAAGCTTTTTCCGGCGAATCCCCGGCGAGTTAGGAGTCGAGGTAGGTATCAATCTCTTCGTCTCGTCAAGTACTACAACTTTCCTTTTTGTTTTCACTCAATTTCGTTGAGTATTGAAGAAGTTATACTCATTTGAAAAATACCCAGTTTCCGGCGACCTCCGAGGCTTTCGAGGCAGTTTCCGGCCAAACCACGGCGAACTAGGTGTTTTGCAAGGTACCATTCTCTTTGTCTCTTCAAGGGCTACAACTTTCGTTTTTGAATCACTTGATTTCGTTGAGAAATGACAAAGTTATGGCAATTTGAAAAACTGTTCAGAAAACGGCCGCCGGAAAAACCAGTCCGGCGACCCAAGGAAGAAGAAGGTGCTACAGTAAAAATAAAAAATAAAAATAAAATTATTTTAAAAATATGTCGACGTCCGTGACGTCGAGTAGATCACTGTGGTATATTCATATACCTAAATTGAACACCGTATGAGAAAGTTATTGAAGATTGTTGGTTAGGTGTTCAAATAACGTTTTATAGTTTTCACATTTAGGTGAAAATGTGAATTGATGATCCGACCGTTGGATCATCACCAAACTTTGATACGTTATAGTACGTAATATTTGAGGATTATTGGAACTTACGGATTGGGAATCCGAGTTACGGATCTTCCGGAATTGGAATTGTAAGTCCATAATATAAAATGTTATCCTAGAGATATATTGTGGACCTCTGGAAGTTATGGATTTAAAATCTGAGTGGCAGATCTTCCGGATCGAACTACGTAGTGACGTATTTTATATAAGTTAAATATTCTATCGATATGAATTCTGAGGTTGGATTTGATTACTATTCTAGGCGGCGATCGTCGTGACGCCTTGATGTGTGGTGCTAGGGAGTTGTTGGATGAACTCCAGGTGAGTGGGCAGTTTTGTTTTCCGTATATATATATATATAACTTAACGTTTTCCCAGAAATTGAAAATGCATGAAAATATGTTTAAAATGAAATGCATATGAGTTATGTGGAAAAACGGGAAGTGAAATACCATGCATAGAATTGATATGAAAAGTATATAGAAATGTGAGTTGAAATGCCATGCATGAATTAATATATGATGCATATGTATGAATTGGTGCGCGGTGGACGCACAGGTAAGAATTGATTTATGATGCATATGTATGAATTGGTGCGGTGGACGCACAGGTAAGAATTGATTTATGATGCATATGTATGAAATGGTGCGGTGGACGCACAGATGAGTATTTAATTACTGTTATATGATGATGATGATATATATTGAGCTCAAATCCTGCACCATGGTTTAGTGCTTATAGTATTCACCGCATCGCACGCTCGCCTTGGATCCAAGTAGATGCTAGTCGTACAGTCCACGCGGAGTGGGTACGACAGACCAGTCGCGAGAGTGTTAGTGAGATTCCGACTGGTGGGTGACCTTAGATTATGTGCACAGATGATTTATGAGAAGCACTAGAGCGTAACTTGTGTGCAGAAGGCCGGACGGGTCACAGAGGTGACTCCGGTAGAGTGATAATGATAGATTTTGAGCTCTAGGTTCAACCGTATAGGGCTATTAGAGGGCCTACGGTTGATTACTTTCTTGCACCTGATATGATTATGTTGATGCATTCATACCTTATTACTGTTGAGATGATGTGGCATGGCATAATTAATATGAGAAATGTTGAGATGACATGGCATGGCATGATTGATAAAGAGATAATGTTGAGATAGTAAAAATGAAGTTTTGAGAATATATATGTATATTTATATTTTACATTTCTGGGAAAGTATACAGGTTTTACGGAGAGGGGTTACAACGTTTTGAGAAATGTTTGGATTTGGAAAAGAATTGTTTTACTGACCCACTCAATTTTGGTTTTGCGCCCCTCCAGGTTCAGGAATCACAAAGGTGTGGTGACTACGAGGAATTCGACGGTGTTCTGACAGATTGGACAAAATTAGGACTCACCTTCGGGTGTATCAATTTAAATTGTATCTTAAAGCTTCCGTACTGTGCAAATGGTTACGTCACTCTCACGTGACGGCCAGCATGCCCTCCTTCGGGACGGGGTGTGTCACATATAGCGTCTTAATTCAATAATATATATCATTTGAAAAAAAAAACTTACATATGATAATGCATTATTAAACAACGAACCTCACATAACGGTTAACTTGTTTCATGTAAATTCTTTCAGTAGTCATGGGAATGCCTAAAATGAGTTTTGAAAAAAGAATGGTATTTATTTTTTCTTTAATTATTAATGTAACAACCAATGAAAGAATGAAATTAAAAAAAAGAATGGTACAAGAATATCGGCGTCAAGTGAAAAAAAAACCAGTGCAGAGAAGAGGCCAGTAGTAGTACACCATTCATTCTTTAAATATAATAAGAAAGTAAAAATATCATTAAAATTTCCTAATAAATAAATAAACATTGTTCTGCGACAAACCACGATCCCAAAGATTCTCTTCCCCCCTCTCTCTGCCAAATTCAAACAATCTGTTCTCCACTGCAGTGGACGAGCTCCAGAGTCCAGAGAGAGAGAGAGAGAGAGAGAGAGAGAGGAGGGAGAGAGGGACAGTGTGAGCTAAGTGAATTCTCAATGGAAGATTTCAGATCCAGATCGTGCGGTCACGGAAGTTCGCAGATGGAGAGCTACAATGGCGGCAGCGGGTCGGCGGGACCCGCTTCATCGGGGGTCAATGGGATGCAGGATCTCAGGTGCTACAGCGCCTCCTACGCGACCTCTGTGCACCCGCAACAGCAGCAGCAAACCCAGGCGGGAAACAACGGCGAGAAGATCAGGAAGGGGAAGTCGGCGAACGGGTCGGCGACGAAGAGCTGGAGCCTGAGCGATCCGGAGCTGCAGAGGAAGAAGAGGGTGGCGAGCTATAAGGTGTATACGGTGGAAGGGAAGCTCAAAGGGTCGCTCCGGAAGAGCTTCCGGTGGCTCAAGGAAACTTGTAATAGAGTCGTCTATGGCCGGTAATCATCATTTCTGAAAATATATTATATAAATTAGTACCATTATTTATTTATTTATTTTAATTGTTTAATTTATGCTCGGTGTTATTAATTTGTAAAATTGGAGTGTTTGTGTTGGAAATTATGAAGTTGTAATGTGATTTTTTTATGAATATTTGTATATTGTGTATTTTTGGTGGTCTGAAAATTATATAAATAAATGAAACGTAAGCCTTTTTTGGTGGTTCATAATATTTTTGTATGAAATTAGTTTCTAGGCATCATATAACTAAATTAGTTTTTGCTAATCTCCCGCGTACCTCAAGGAGGAGGTGTGAATGAGGTTCTGAAATATGAATTCCGTATTCGATTTCCGGTAATATTATGGTAGGTTTTTAGTCAAAATAGTCTTTGAGATAGGCATAAAGTCCTCATTTTTTGTCCATGAGATTTAAAATCAATAGAGCCACTTAATACTACGGTCTGGTGGTATCCTTTTTAATTGATAAGTGAGAGGTCTGATTCTCGCCAAATGCGAATTTAAACCACATCCCATTGTGAGGCAGCCTACTCCCCCAACTCTCTTATTGTGGATGACATCGTTTGTTAAAAAAAATATATATATATACATATATATAAATGGTCCATGAGATTGTTCACTATCGATGATTTTGGTCATTCTCAAAAAAAATTTCGTTAAATTGAAGGAACCACAAGTTTAAGTAGAGATGTTGATTTGACAAAAATACCTTCAATTTAACAGAAATTTTTCACGGAATGACAAAAATAATTGACGTTAGACAATTTCAGGGACCACTTCAATCGATTTTAAATATCAGATATCAAAGTGAGCAGTTATGCCAATTTGAGTGACCATTTTGACTAAATAGCCTATTATTATTTGTTGGTAACTTGTATGATCCTCATTACCGCTTTCTTTGTCATGCATTTCGGAACCATTTTCGATTTCCGACATGTATGCAAACCCTTGCTGAATGCATTGTCTGAAGAAAGATTTCCGGGAAAATAACAAAGAAATGGCGTATAGCAGTGCAAATTGGTTTGTCATTGATCCTGTTCGGTGGCAGTGAGTAAGCTTTTAGCTTTCCGGATACATTTTCTCGTACCAACTGAGCTCAGTTGGCTGCCTCCCTGTGACATCCTTGTTTCCCCAATTAGGTCATCGTTAAGCTATCTTAGAGCGTCCCTCAATTTAGTAATTCAATTTCATGTATATCGTAGTTATGTTCGAGCGTGACAGAGCAGCCGGGCAAAGGAGAATATCGACGATTGTACAATTTAGCGATGACCGTTCCGCTATTCTGCATCCTTAGCTAGCTTGTCGTCTCTCGTCTGTGTGCCTATGCATTGAGTGTGCTTTGGGGGAAATGGAAAAGGGCAGGGAAACTCAAAATTGTGCCATTGTTTTGAAGCAAAGTGGAAAAGTCCATGAAAATTACCCACAAAGCTTAGGAGGTAGAATTTTGTACGTGAATTGGCAAAAAATTTGAAAATATTCAAAAGCCCAACAAAATTGGGCTGAGAAGCAACATAAATTTAGAAGCCCAACAAATATGGGCTGAAAAAATGGGCCTTTACCGAAACTGACCCAAATTTCGGTAAACTAAAATAATCGGTGCGGTTTCGGTTTTTTTTACCCTTCCCTAACTGTTCGGTTCGGTTTCCAGTAAGGCCATTTCGGATCAGTTACCAAACCAAAACCACCCCTATTCTAAATGCAGACCTTCGATGCCTTTAACGGTAGTCTCGTAGTTCCCCGTTTGCGATGTATGTCTACGGGTGGGGTCCGATGACTCGACTGGTGAACTTCTTCGACCACTTGAAATTCTGTGTCCTCCAGGGCTAGCATCGGTTGTTCGAGGGCGAATGTCAGACTCACTTCCGCCAAATGCATCACGGCTGCCAGAAACAGCGACTCTCCTTGATGATCCGGCTGACAGGCCATACATATTGCTATTTGACGTCTGCAAGGCCCAAGCATGGACGAGATTTTTGTCACAAGGCATAAAAGGCAAGCAGGGACGTCCTTAAGAGGCTCAAGACTCGAGACATACGAATAAACACTTAACTATTCCTGTTTCATATAACCCCGCAAAAACGATTGCAATTCCATAAATAATGCATTCCAAACATCTCACCTCTCTAGTTAATGAAGCATCATTAGCAATTGGATTCTTCTGCCTCGAAAGGCTCAAGGAATTAAGCGCCGGTCCAGGTATTCTCCGCTGAGAGGCATCCAACGATCTTAAACCAGTTAGCCGCCCATCTTCCTCACCTATATGGAAGCCGTGAAGCAAAATGTTAGAAAATGCAACGCTAATATAGGAGAAATGACACCCGGATATCAGAAAACCTTTAGTAATAAGTTGTCGAACCCGAAAGTGAACAGAGAATTCCTTAAATTTATATATTAACATACAGACAAGTCAAACTTTAAAATAAACAAATAGGAGAGAAAAACATGTGGTAATCTCCAACACCACCATCCTCTAGCTGTGACGAATAAACTTACCTATAAGAATGCTGTTTAAATTCATCTAGAGCAATGCTAAACAACATACCTGCCAGTCTGTCCGCATTAACAGCGGCATGGGGCATCCCAGAACTTGTTCCAGCACCGGGAAGGGCACGGGTTGGAGGAACAGCCAGCTGTGACTGCTGATACTTCAAAATTGTCCAGTCAAACACATAATCAAACTGGAAGCCTGAAGCAAAATCCAATGGATACAATCAGTGTAAATAGAATGCTCACTGTAATGTGGAAATCCGCTTACAATGCTCATTGTAATGACAATAGAATTCAAACCTTCACGAATGAAGACATCCCGGAATATTTTTTTCAAATAAACATAGTCTGGTTTATCATCAAACCGTAGTGAGCGACAGTAATGGAAGTACGAAGCAAACTCTGTCGGATAACCCCGACATAACGCCTGCAAAATCATTAAATTCTTTAGTCAAAATATGCGACACATGAGGCCTGAATTGTATACAACCACATTAACATTCACAAGCATCATACCTCAATTGAAGTAGAAACCTTTTTTTCACTAATTTTTTCATACTTCTGTTTCTTAGTTCCCGCTTTTAGTCCCTGCCAAGGAAGACTAAAGGCAAAAAGAATTATTAAACAAAACATCAACAGATAGCACTACAACAACAAAAGAAAAAAAAAAGAAAAAAAAAAGGGACTTCAGAAATAATCACCTTCCTCTAAGGAAATACATAAGGACATAACCAAGAGATTCTAAATCATCCCTCCGGCTTTGCTCTATAAAGCGCAGAATGTCATAAAAGAATTTCTAAATCAATGTCAATAAACCAGATGGTGGATTTAACTGGAACAAAAGTACATTAAAAGGGATACAAATGGCAAAAACAAAGACTAAAGTCTTAAGACATACCAATTCCAAGGTGAGTATTCATGCTTGCATATCTTGCAGTTCCAGTCAGATTCTTGTTTTCCCTGCACCATTCATGCCGATGTACAACGATAATATGACAGGTGAAGTTATAACATCAACTACAAATCTTGTAGTGCAAGTCCATTTCTAGTATACTGCTATATTTCTCTAGAATCATATTCGGAGAACATATTAGAGAACACAGAAAAACAAGCATCATCTCACCTATAAGGAATATGCTGACGGGTTGAACTATCTCTGTATTTCTTAGCCAGACCAAAGTCTATCATGTACACCTACGTATAACGAAAAATCAATTACCGTATTAATATAGATTCATTGGCATATGAAATATGTGCATTGAAACACAAGCATATATAGACCTACAAAACCATGTACACCAAATTAAGATAGAAAACCTGATTTGCACGCCTTCCCAAGCCCATAAGAAAATTGTCTGGCTTGATATCTCGATGTAGAAATGACTTACTATGGACAAATTCAACACGACTGATCTGAAATAAATGTCAAGCACAGAAACAGTCAGTATCTTCCCCACAATATATTAAGCCAATACAATGAAGTGCAATTGTGCATGGACTCACACCTACCATTTGATCCGCCAGCATAAGAACGGTCTTCAAAGAAAGTTTCCTACTACAGAAGTTAAACAAGTCTTCAAGACTAGGGCCCAGTAAATCCATCACCAAAACATTATAGTCTCCTTCAACTCCAAACCACCTCACATTTGGAATTCCAGCTGCAAGAACCAAAGTTAGAAAATCAGAAAACTTGCACCAGAAACTGCTGATTAACTAGAAAATGCAGCAGTTTCACTTACTTCCTCCTGATAGGATCCTGTATAACTTGGATTCGTACAGCAGCTGAGGGTGTTTTGTCTTCGCATTTTCCTAAGTATAAGAAACAACAAGACAATTAGCTTCATACCGCACACATTCATCACGCTAATAACAGTTCATAAAAGGAAACTTCAACACCACCACCAAAACTTGAAGACCTCTATTTACAAAAAAAACACGATCCTCCTACGATAATTTTCTAGATACTAATCAATCAATCAAACACATACATTGATCCAAGGACTAGTCGTTCCACAAACCTTTGATTCCTAGGCATTTCTAACGCAAGGTGAATGCCGAAGCACGAAAACTAGACCATGAACTTAAAGAATCATTCTTACCAATTCTCAGGCCACGGATTAAACTTAAATTAACACATAAGTAAAAAGCAAGCAAATGGGCATTTAAATCACCCAAAAATAAATAATAAACAATCACAACTCGTAGCTGAATTGGAACAACGAAAAACACTCACAAGCTTAATCGCAACCTCTTCATTCGTCTGAATATTTGTACCTGCAAACAGGCAATTCAAATCCACAATTAACCACCCAATTACATACATAATTACATACAAATCCACAACTAACAGGAAGATGAAGAAGCAACAAACCCAGATAGATCTCTCCGAACGAGCCGCTACCGATCTTCCGGCCGAGCCGAAACTTATTCCCAACGCGAGGCTCCATATCTTCCAGAGCAGCCCGAATCGGTTGAAATCGAAACCCTAACCCTAAAATTACAAAAACTAAAAAAAAATGGATAACAAATTGGACGATGATTCCAAAAAATCAAAACAACAACAACGACCCCGCATCAGCAGAAGGCAGTCGGCCGACTCAACCGCAACGACATCGGATTGTCCATCCAATAAAAGCAAGAAAGAAAAAAAAAATTATAATGCAAAAGCAAAGCAAACAAATTTTGTACGGACAGCTATGCGCTGGGCCCTCTCTGGGTTCTTTCTTGTTGGAGATCTAGGTTTGGATTCTCCTTTTCCTTTTTTTTTTCTTTTTCCGAATTATTATTTTTATTTAATTTCTTTTATTTGTTGGGTTACCGTTAAAAGCACTTTTGGATTAGAAATTACAAAAGGAGAACGGGAAAAGCAAAAGCAGCAGCTGGGCTTGTTGGCTTGTGGCTATCCATACCCACCCACCAGCCACCATCTCTCCCTTGTTTCCTGCTTTTGATTCACCTGCAACCTAAAGTTCGGTAGATAGAGAATACCTTTCGCAATATAAAAATAGACGAGTTCTCAATCAATTCATTTCTTCTTCTTCTGTAAATATCGTTGTATAAATAAAATAAAATAAAATATAAATACTTGAATCAATGGCGCTGTAGAATTTTTGTGTTTTTTTTTATTGTTTGGGAGTGATGTCACGTGACTTTTTTCACACAAAACTGGAGGGACCCTGACACGTGGTCCAACTGCGTGTGATTTGAGTCGGACGTTCTTTATTTTCAAAGACGGACTGACCCATGAAAAACGTGACACCCACTCCATTTGCTGAGTCTTTCACACTTTATTTTCTTCGAATATTACATAATCTATTGTGTACACCGATCGAACTTACTAAGAAAATGTACGTCATTTTTAATACAAGCGATCATAGATGGGCGGAACATAACGTTCCCAACCACTTGAATTCTGAGTTCACTTGAATTATGAGTTACTCACATGCCAGCATTTGTTATTTGGCTTTGTGTAGAACTTGAGAGACACTTTAGATAAATGTCTCGTATTTGTCAAGTGTGTCACATAAGCAGTGAAAGATTCAAAATTTGAACCTTGGGCTCAATATTCAATACAAGTTTTTTAGATATAAACAGGGTACGAAGCGTGCAAAAATAAAAAATAAGTTTATTCATTTTGCGGGCTTGTTGCGCACATTGCAACAAATATCGTCATATGCCGAAACAATTTAATGAGTGATATAAAGAGAGAATTTGTCGAATGATGTCGACGCAACAAATCGAGATATATTTAGCATGCATTACATTATACATTTTAGTAAGCATAAAAGGGACCGTACCCAGGGCCTGCCCTAAGGGTAGCTCAAGTAGGCGCCCGCCTAGGGCCCCACTTCAGAAGGGTCCCTAAAAAAATTTATATTCTGTAATTAATATATAAATACAAAAAAGTAAGAAATAGCGTAATTCATTTGTTTGTGCAGTGGAAATGTTGGCTTCATTTTTCTTTGGGGTGTTGAGTTTGAAACACGAAGCTGCCTTTCAGTCACTAGATTTTTCTTAATTTTTCTTGTTTTTCAAATTTATTGCTGGTCCATCTGTCTAACTCCCAAGCCATCTATCCAAATGCATATAAAGCTATAAAACTCAAGTCTCTTTGCAATCTTTTTTCTTTCAACTTCTCGTTCTCTCAATTTCTATCGAATATTTATACCAACTTCCTATTCTCTCAATTTCTATTGAATATTTAAACCAATTATAATATGGTCTTAAAGATTGTACATTAAGGTAATCAAAACTTTGAATTTTATATATTTCTTTTCAATAACTTTTTATTCAATTGATTATTTTAATATTCAATTCGTTAGTGTGATGTTGATTTTAGAAGGAAAAAAAACACAACAAAAACAATTGGCGTTGAATTTATTATATTCGTCAATCAAGTTTTATTGTCATTTACTCTCGTGATCATCAAGTTTTACCGTTCTTCACTTTCAATCTTAAACTCTTGACTACAAACATTTAATACATTTGTGTCTAAAAAAGTAAATCATGCAATGTTTAAATAATATTTGTATATTTATCTTCTTTTGATATTAATTTTTAATGATATTTGATGTGAAAATAGAACTTTTTATGTATTTAGGGAATTCTTTTTTATACAAATCAATATACAAAGGACCGGAGATCAAAGAATTTTAGGACCCCACTTCAAATGCTCGCCTAGGGCCCCAAATTCTCAGGGCTGGCCCTGACCGTAGCAATACTCGAAGGATCGTCAGAAAATCTTCACATGTATATTTTTCAGACATAGATGGTCCTAAGGCCATCTTGGTTCCTTTTTCCATCCGCCCTTGCACACAGGCACGTAGTCAGACACTTGTTTTCAAGCTTTTCATATATGACACATTTTTTTTTTACAAACAAATAACAGTTTGACGTATTCAAATAAAAGTTCTACTTTTACATTTTATCACGCAAATCTATATATGTTAAACCGTAATTTACAGACAATAAAAAGACAAGTACTGTTACGCTAAGACATTTTTTTTCTTGTTTTGGAATTAGTTTTCTTTAAATTCTAACTTGTTTGGAGGGTGAAGAACATTACTACCAAATGTGTACTGGTAATTTTCAATGGCAATAATTTCAGTGAAAGAAAGGTAAGGTTATACCTTACATGGAAATTAAACTAAGGGAAAATTAGGTTCATATCTTTATTTTGTTACTCCATTGATTAAAATCCTATTCATTTTCAATTTTTGATCAAGGTCCTTGGGTATTAATAATAACATCATTAATTATTTGAATAATAAAATATTTTTATTTTTAAATATATTCCTTTAATGTTAAAAATGTTACAATTGGTATATTTATATTTATGGCTAAATTTTTTATCATATATTTTTATTTTTAGTTTGTACCTATTTTTAATTTGCAAATATTTTTTAATTTGTACCAATTTTCTTTTCATTTTTAATTTGTACCCATATATTAGTTTCTTTTTGTGCCCATATTTTTTAAAGTTTTATTTGTGTTTGTACTCATGTGTAGACCGTTACGTGACATTGTATATTTAATCAATAATAGAAAAATAACATATGGTATATTTATGTTTTATGCCTAAACTTTGTATCATATATTTATATTTTTAGTTTGTATTCACTTTTAATTTGCAACATTTTTTTTTAAATTTGTAGTATTTTCTTTTTAGTTTTATTTTGTACCCATGTATTAATTTCTTCTAACGCCTATATTTTTTAAAATTCGTTTGTACTCATAATTTTTTATTTTTTATCTGCACCCTAATTTATTTCTAATGTCCCCATTCTTCTTTATTGATGTACTACTTTGTTATATGTGAAATGTACCAAAATTTTTAACACTACGGATACATTCTTTTGCCATTTTTTATTTCTTACTTTTACATAGTTTTTATCCATTTATTCAATCAAAATATTTGAGTTTTTTTATTGTTACCGTTTATAATAGTATTATAATGAGAGATTTTAAATTTATAGGATTATAAATCTCATAAAATATCAAACAATTAATGTCAAAACTATAAATATATAAATATTAATAGTAATATAGTGAGATGTACAAAGTCAAGAGATCTTGATATAAAAAATGTTAAGGACTAGAAACCACATCCAAAATAACCTTTAAACTAATTATATGGGAATTGGTACGTTCCATCTTTTATTAAAAGTCGGGTTTGTACAGTTATCATTGCTAATGTATTAATCACATGTTAATTGATACATTTTGTTGTTGACAAGTTAATTGACAATAATGTCAATACCTCATCGATATCAACAGTATATTTATTAAATAGCATTGTGCATAAATCATCTCAGGTTCTTTTTAACACAATAATATTCTATTAGATCAGTTACAATTAGTAGATATCGAACTCCGAACTCGTCGTAAGTTTTACCGTGTGATTATAACTCGAACCTCAGAGCCTGTGCCCAGCTAGACTCCTAACTGTGTAAAGCTTAAAAAAAAATAAAAAAATAAAAAAAACAAAAACGAAATTTTCGGTTTATACATCGCAAGCCTCCTAGCAAGAGCATGAAGTTTGAAATAGCTAGCGAAAATATTACTATGTTCCGTTGAAAACCGCTTGAAACAGAACAATTTTTTTTTATGGAGTGAAGAAAGTAGAGCCACATTTGCATCTCCAACCCTCAGGCTCATAATTTGCATATTGAACTCCAAAGTGGTCAGTGGTTGTGGGTGTCTGAACTGGAACACATGGCTCGCAGCTTCCACATACGTGCTTACAATATGGTGGTCTTGACCCCAGCCTACTCAGCTCTCTGTACTTTCTTTGTTCCATGCCTTCCTCAACTCCCTAAAGACAAACCCTAATTATCCGTACACCCAAACACATACATATATATACACAAAAATATTATAATATATGTTATATATACACATAATATCCAGAGATGGAGAACCAAAGATGTACCTGTTTTGAGTGAAAGGTAGCTCCTGGGGAATATTGGTTTCTCTCTGTTTGATTAGCTATAAGAAAAGGTATTTGGGTAAACATATAACTATATGAAAAGACTTGATTCTAGCATACAACCGAAAATATAGTGATGAGAAATACAGAGATACGGTGATAAATTCCCGGAAACAGCTGAGAATCTCCCATGAGAAATATGGTACAAGTAGCTTTTTACCTTCTTGATGGGGAACGTCATAGGATGCAAAGGGCCTGCTTGTAACAGAAACCCAACACAGAAGAGTAGCCACTACAGTAATGCAGCATGTCCTTCTCTTCATTTTTGTTGGAAATATCCAAATGGCAAAAGTGATGACCTGTTTTGTGAGTGGCGGGGGGACAAAATGCAAGCAATGCCATATATGTGTGTGTGTGTATATATAGAGAGAGAGAGAGAGAGAGAGAGAGAGAGGTTTGAAGACCAGTGGAAGAAGACAAAATATACTGTTTCTTTCTTTCTTCTTGTGGCAGTGATTCTGGTGCACTCTGGAGGGGGGAGATTTTCTACAGAGGAAAGAGAGAGAGAGAGAGAGAGGAGGTGAATTTATTCGACCTTCTTGTCCGCCTTCTTGTCAAACAGAACCCTAAACCAAGGAACCAAATGACATTGAGAAGATTGGAATTTGGGGAATGCTCCCTTTGGTTGTCTTTCTTTTGACAACTCAATCAGTCCTACGGTCTGATCAATAAAAGAGGGAAAACAATACATAGAAAACGTGAAAACTGTCTGATTTATGTGAAGATATGGACTCTGACCCTGTCCCTTCGGACGGATTGGTCAAGGCCACAAGAAATTTCGAAGTTGAGAGATCTATTTGAAACAAAAAAAAGGCTAAAATAATAGTGTCCCAAATGTCAGGTAAATTACACAGTAGCCCCTCAGTTTTAAAGTCTATTACAACCACATACAACATCTTTAAAATATTTCACTTTCATACCTCACATTCTATTTTATTTCAAAATAATACCTCCGTTACATTTTCCATCCATTAATCTGTTAAATGCTGACGTGGTTGCCACATTTGTGCCACGTGGTTGCCAAATGTGTGCCACGTGGCAAAAAAAATAATTTTTTAATTGTTTTTTTTTTAAACCTAAATCTTCTAAATAAATTATAAAACTAAAAAAATAAAAAAAATAAAAAACCATACAAACCCAGAAACCCCCCAACCCACTTCTCCATTTCCTCCTTCTTCACCCTCCCATCCCTTCTCTCTCCCCAGACCCACACCTCCCATCCCTTACAAACCGTCACCCTCACCCTTCTTCTCCAGTTCACCCGTGTACCGCCGCCGTCGTCTTCCTCCTCAAACCCCCTGCTTTGTTTATCCAAATCCATCAAACAAAACAAAAGCAACACCAATTTCACATTTTTACAAAAAATTCAGAAATGCCAATTAAACCCAAGCCAGTCGGGAACACAGTCGATTCGGAGCGGGACCTGCGAACTCCAATCAATTAGGAACGGTGGGTCGGAGGCCGTGACCGGATCGAAAGGAAGGGGGGTTCAAAAGATGCAGCCTTGGAGGGTAGCCATTTGCGTGGGCGAGCTTCCAGTGCACGAGGTCGGATAGCTTGGGTTCATGGTGGGTGATTTAGGATGGGAAGAAGAGAGTGAATTTTTTTCCGGTTGGGCTAGGGTGGTGGTGGGTCGAGTTCGTTGGGGTCGGGGGGGGGGGTGGGGGGAAGGGTGGGAAAGTTTCTGGGTTTTGGTTTGCGGGGGTATGGGTTGCAGGGACGTGTCTCTGACGTTTTTTTTTTGTTTTTTTTTCTGGGTTGCGGAGAAGATGAAGATGGGTGCGGTGGGGTGTGTAGAGGAGGGAAGAGGGTGGGTGCAGGGGGTGGGTGCGCGATGGGTGCCACGGGGAAGATGAAGATGATTTTTTTTTTCCTCCTCTTCTTCTTTTGGGTTGCAGGTTGGGTTTTGGGGGGTGGGGGAGGAGGAAGGGAGGGAGGGAAGACGAAGTGGGCTTTGGTTTTTGATTTTTGATTTTTTTTTAGTTTTATAATTTATTTAGAAGATTTAGGTTTTAAAAAAAAATTAAAAAATTATTTTTTTTGCCGCGTGACACACATTTGGCAGCCACATGGCACAAATGTGGCAGCCACGTCAGCATTTAACAAATTAATAGATGGAAAATCTAACGGATGTATTATATTGAAATAAAATAGTACTTGAGGTATGAAAGTGAAATGTTTTAAAGATGTTGTATGAGATTGTAATAGACCTCAAAACCTGAGGGGCTACTGTATAATTTACCCTATCATATATTTACACATTTCCATACACCGTTGCATAATTAGTTTAAGTTACTGTCTTTTTAGCGTTATGTTTCGTGTTTTGGAACTAGTAACTTAGCTTAGGTACTCTCTTATTCAGAATTTCAACCATATGACTAAGTACCTGAGACACCAATCAATAAGATGCTCTCTGATTTAATTAGCCTACTAAATAGTAAGTTAAAAAAGTCGTTGAAGTCTGAACTTGGGGTCAATTTTCAAACAGGAAGGGTTGATGGAGAACACACAGTCCATCTGGCTGTGCCCTCTAAAGTCTGAAATTTTCAGTGAATTGATGAGTCAAAAAAGATTTTATTGTGTTGGGATTGATGCTTTTCTTGCATATGGTCATAATGCTGTTGCAATAACGACTTATTCAATTTCCTGTGAGTAGCTCACATCAAAATCTCATTTACTATCTATCGTGAAGTTTGTTGTCATTCACCCTTTAATTTAGTCCAACTCATAGCTAGCTATTAGCTACACAAGCTTTATTAGTGTTAACGCTCAAATTTGAGAGTTTAACAAAGACCGATGTGATCGGTTTAAGGTGTGCTCCAAGTTAATAAGAACTTAATAACAAGATTTATGTGGTTTACATTTAAAAACTGGATTACATTAATTGTGGTGCTCGGATATATTGAGTATAGGTTAAAATAGGCGCTTAGTATAATTTAGTTTATTTTTGCACAATTTCTTGTTCGACCTGTTACAAAGGGTGCGTATACTCGCTCTCCTTATATAAGCCCTCCATGTGCCTCAAGTCTGGCTTGAGTTTTCCACTGCTTTCGCATTTATTAAACCAAGGACGTTGACGTAATCTGCTAGTTGCCCCTTTTTCTTTAGTGCACACATGGTGGCAAAGTGACACTTGCTCAGATCCACTTGCACGTTTTATGAAGGCAACACATAACGAGCTCCTTGCTCAGTCTTGGAGTTGGTGGAAACCCAAGCCAAGCGATTGATGTCTAAAGAAGTCTACTCCTAAGACTTTGTTCTATGAAGTTGTTAGTATGCCAACTTGCTGCCAATGGTCAGTAAGTACCTTATTCGGATGTGCTCGGCTTGGCAAGCAAACCATACTATTGAGCAGTTGTTCATAGCGCTCGGAATTGTCCATCCCAGTTCTATTGGGCCTTGGCCTCCCCTTCTTTGGACGTTTATCTTCATTTCTTCCTCCAGGTCCCCCAATAACCCTAATATCATGTTATCAAACCCAAAAATGAAGTAAAAGAGGAAATTGTGAAGGGACTCTTGTAAATTTGTACATGCATGCGATTATGCAAATGCAGTCTCCAGAAACGTAGGCCTCAACATACACAGAGATTGCATGTGGCTACTACTAGACATGAGCCCTACGGGGGCTACCCTATAGACCTGCCTTTTCCTGTTTTCCATATGTAGAGGATGCATGACATATTGACACGTGACGGTGAAAGCAATTACCATACAATTATCATATATTTAGGTACAGAATTTTCGATACATTTGTGTTTTTGCATAATTTCTTATGTACCAGTAATTCACTACAATATATTTATGTACAAATATTTTGGTATATTATTTATTTCTTTTTTTTTAATGAAAATGTCAATCCGAATGTATTAGATTTGACAACAATCCTCTCCGGATTCTAGTTGTGGGAATCATAAGAATCCCTCATTTTAACCGTTAATCGTATATCATGCGATCAGTTTTCGTTAAATATTATTTATGTTTAATTTTAAATAAAAAAAATCAGAATAATTTTTTACAGCATGAATCAACGGTTAAAATGTGAGAATACCATTTAGAATCCGAAGGGATCCACATCCTATTAGATTGACCAACAAATTTATCTATGGACCCGGCTTCTTTGCCCTCTCAGTTCCCATATGTTCTCATTCTTTTCTATTTTGTGCAGTCACGATTAAGGCACGTCAACATTTTATATTAATTTTTTTTATAAAGATAATTAAATAAAAAATAATAGTGATATAAAATAATAATATCGCTTATCCATTGACTGCATAAATAAAAGATGATGAAAATATATGAGACCTGGAAGGGTAGAGAAGTCCTTTAAATCCAACCCCACAAACCCACCCAATGTTAACCCCTACTAGCATCGGTAGCCAAGCTATCATATGGTTATGAATGAGGCCGTACTCTTAGCATCTATCGACATCCAGACCGTGAGAGAGCGAGATAGAGGGGGGATGGGGATGGGATTCTGCATTGCATGACATGTCTAGCTAGCTAGTTTAGGGTGGTCTATGACTATATATGAGACTGATCAGAAAATGGAATTTAATTAAGCAGAATGCTTCTTCTCTCTTAAAACAGCATACCTAAGATATCAAAGAAGCTTTAATAATTACGGTTTAATAATATTTTTATTTTATTTGTAACTTTATAAATAAGATGTTTTAAATTCGATTTCTTTCAAAGACGAATTACTAGTTCATTTTGAAACTCAATGCACTCTTCCACCCTTTTAACATAAATACTATTGCTAGTGAGAAACGTATATTCGTCATCTCCATGGAAGTTTCACTCCTAAAATAGAACAAAATCTTGTGTCCGGGCTCCCTTAAAGGGACACTGACAAAAAGAATTGAAAGGTACCAAAATATTGGAGTAAACCGCTTAAGAGAGGATTATTAACAAAAAATTAATGCGTCATTTATAAAAGTTAAGCATCAATTTGGAGACAGTTTTGTTTTTCATTTTCATGTCAAACACTCATATATTCACAAAAAATTTAGAGAAAAACTTGCATAACACAAGTATATCGTTTACAAAGTTCCATACTAATAACTCAAAGACATGTGTTAGCTTTTAACTATATCATCTTATATTATTAATAGAACGTTACTGTGATGATGTAACTATTTCATGCTAATTGTTCTCCAAAATTTGGGCGATGAAGAAGAGAGATCTGGTCAAGCGCAGTGCAGTGCAGGCTACACAAACTCTAGGTAGGTCTGGTGACTCTGCATTTTCATCTTTTTGTCTTATTCTGGAGTGTGTCAGCGAGGTTTGATTGAGTTGAGTGATGGATTGATTACTCTCTCTGCCTCTCTTGTCTCCCGAACCAGACACAACCATATGATGTCATTGAAAATAACATAATATAAAATCATAATATATTCCTTCTAACTCTCTGTCCATCTTTTTTCTTCATACCAATACAAAAATTATGTATCATTTTGTTCCTAAAAAAGAAAAAAAAGTCATGTATCATTTCGCAAGGACTATTGTAGATTTTTTTTTGAAGGAAATTTTAGCGAAAAATTTCTAATACTATTTATTTAAATAAAAAATTATATTTTTACATTAAAAAGTCAATTATGGTATTATTTACTTTACTATTTATTTTATCTTTTAAAACTCAAAATTTTCGAATCATTTTTATTAATTTTCATTTTTTTGAATGCTTGCCAAAAATAAAAAATTATTGTTGACGCTCTAAAATAGAACAATTACTAAACGAAAATTTTGAATATTACATTTCATTCAGTGGCCTCGACTTCCTGGTATACAAATAATGAATAAATTAAACCCGACCCGACCCAAAAAATACATGAGTCAAATCAGTAGAAAATTTGACAGAAAGAAACCACTTGGTTTACAATGCATGTACAAAAAATCAAATGATCGAGATCGAAGGAACGAAAAAATTGGGTTAGTTCCCTTAACTCCTCCTTATTGGGCTTAGCGAGAGGCCCACCATTCTTGTACGGCTGCTTTGGCCCATTATTAACCTACTGCTACCTAACCCAGCCCACGAGCCTAATGTTCCCTTCGGCGAGCTTAGTTGGCTGCGGGGATTGGGGTCCTTGGGCTAGGAAGGCCCATATATGAGAGCCGGGGTGAGAGCCAGACGTTTGGGCTGGGCCTTGGAGATGGAATTGGGCCATAACGTACTGACGGTCCAGGACCGACCCGGGGAGATAGGTTAACGTGTTCAAGTGCCCTGAATTGTAGCTCGGTCGGGTAGTCCCGGACACACCCGATTCGGGGTCCAGTTGCTGTAGTCCATTTGCATGACAAGCGCTTGTACGCGTCAAAAACTGGTGGCTTGGCATTGGCAGTGGCACTATCAACCTTCTTAGTTTGTTCTTGAACGGTTGTGATTGGAGCCTTGCTGGCCAAGCCATGTGAATCAGTTTTGTTTGCACCGTCCGATTCGGTCGATTTGAACGAACCCTCCTTTGTTGATTCCGCTTCAGTGGTCTTCGTATAAGAAGAGTCATCATCAATTGCGTACCTCTGAGGAAAATCAAGAGAAATATAAGTTAGAACGTGAACAAACAAGCACACAACCGTGATCATTTGAGCTAGTGACCTCTAGTTTTCACTTTATCTGACGAGGTTCTGAGTTTAAATTTCATAAACAGCAGTTATTGGATAAGAAATAGACATGAAGCATTTACCTTGACATTGGAGAGGTCGACGTGATTATCTTCTAGGAAGCTGATAAATTCCATGAAGTTCTCTTCTGTTGGGTGGTAATGACCACTGTATGGCCAAATAGCCTGAAATTAACAGTTGAAATTAAGTTAAGAAATGACATCAAAGTTACTTGGACCATAAGAAAACACACAATGCATTGCTAGCCTCTTGGCCTGCGCTCACACGTATGTAGGGATAAATTTCGTACCTCAAGAATCCCGTCACGGGCAACCAATCTTCCAGCTGCTGTGGTAGCACCACCTGCTAGAAAACTCGAGTGTTGGAACTGACCCTTCTTCTTCTGCCCAACGTACAAAGACCTTGTCGTGCTGAGGACAAATATCCATTTGGAACCTTCGCTTGTGTTCACAAGCACCCCACTTTGCCTGTATAAAAGTTTTCCATTTTCCAATACTACTTCATATGCTTCTCTTTCAATCTGAAAATATTGCAGGCACAAAAAAAACACAATTAAGTATGCAATTAACAAGCATTATGTTGGTGGTAAACGAAATTCGGGTTTAGGGTATGTGACTAACCGGTCCAAGATACTTGATGCATTGACGTTGTAGGACTGTCCTCGAGCATTTCTCGAGGTTTATTTCTTTCCCGTCTCCGACATCCAGCCTGCATTACACAGATAGATCAGTAATTGAGATATAAACCATCTTAGAAAAAATGAACAATATAAACACTACTACTTACCAGTAGAAGAAAGGTTGGCTGCTCTCACTTTCAAACCAGAGATCATAGTAGAAGTGTAAATTGTGTCCATACCGATGTCGTGGATCAATCTGCATAAAACATCAAGAAACATCTGAATGTTAGATCATGAATCCCATAATCTTTTTGAATAAGCACAAAAAGTCATCGATTTTTTTAAGGTCAGAGTCAGATAAATCGTTGTTGAGTTTTCGCAAGACCTTACCGCTTCAAGCCAGTGTTGAAGAGCCAATTTTTGTGCCTTCTCATCCTTGGACAAACCCTTTCCAACCTTGGCTGCTCTAGTCCTAGCTCTTGCCCACCGCGAAACAGCGGTTTCCGGCTTCTCAACATTGAAGAACGACACAGAACTCCTCTTCAGAGCTGCAAAATCTAATGCCTTCCACCTAAAGGTTTCGAAAAAACGAAAATTAATCAAACCATTTAAAAATATTGAAAATTTGATCAAATCAATGGAATGAAATTGCAAAAAGACTCACCATAGCTCCTCAACCACCACAGCACAATCTGCAAGGTTTCTTCGGGTCCGGTAACTCTTGTAAACCTTCTGAAGCTTAACAGCAGCAGCATCAAGCTCGCTAACCGGCCTTGGCGAAGAAAAAACCGGCGGCTCAGGCAGAGCAAGTGCAGGCATTGGTTTGTGCTTCAATTCATTTTTGCCTTTACAAAAATCTAACCCCATGTCTTGTTGCTCTTGGACAAGACCTTTAAACGAAAGATTCTTGTCGAGTATCACATTTTCGGGTTTGTATTCCCTCAAGCGAATCGAATTGTTAGTCCCCGACTTGCTAGAACTGTTTGAATTAACTGTCATGGATTCGGATTCTATTTTCTTAAAGCTGTGTGTTCTTCGAATAACTTGTGCTCCAATATCTCTGGGAGTTAAACTGATGTTGTAGGTCAACTCGAAGAATCTATGCCTCGCAATTTCTTCCCAGGCTGAGGCAAGTAGTGAGAATGATAGCCCCATAAGAATTGCTCAACAGGTTCAGGTTGAAAGGCGCAAAATCGTCACCTGCTAATTAATTAACAAGAACATAATTAGACTAAAGATTCAAACCACCAAAGATTTAATCAAAATCCCATAAAATTTAATCAAATCTACAACTTGGGTTGTTAACAGAATTGAGAGATGAAACATTGCCTAACCTGAAATGGGATTTTTCACAAAGTCCTGAAAAGTGCTTTTGAAATTCCAAAACTCCAGAGAGATGTTGAATTGAATTGGAAGATGGGATTTGAGTGAGTCTGACTGCTATATGCTTATATATATATATATATACACATAAATTCGCCTCAGCAAACAAACAACTAACCCCACTAGTCTCCTTCGAATACGTGTCGAAACGACGGAATTGGAAATTTGGAAGATGGAAAAAATGGAAAACGATGAAACTTTGAATTCAAGGTCAATAAAAAAGTTTTGGGGATTTGGTTGCCGTGGAATTGGAAGACAGAAGAGGGAATGGTGGGGGGAAATTGTTTTGGATTCAACGCTTGAGTTTTCTTTCCCTTTTTTTATTTTCTTTGGTTCAAAGCCCACGAGTTGTTGATGTATTCAAAGCTTTGAGAAAAGCACTTATAAACTGCTTCTCACAGATGTGAACAGGCTACTTGTAGAGCTTGTGTTGTTCATAACATACAAAACATGAGCATTAGCAGCTGTAGAGAGAGAAAGAAAGAGGGGAGATAGAGAGAGAGTGGGCGGTCAAAAAAGTAAGCTTGGAGTTGGAGAGGCGGTTTCCGTGAAAAAACACAGAAGTGCTTATTTTCCAAGGGGAACACAGACGTGCTTCTAAGTGCTGGTTTGTTATTGTTGTGTTTTGAAAAAAAGCTGCTGTGAGAATAAGCGGCTGTGAAATAAATCAGTAGAGCGTTTGGTAAACTTTTTTGTAAAAGTGCTTTTGGAAAAAAAAGCAGTCTGATAGTGAGTCTTTTCATTAAAGGAGCACTGTAGCCCCGTGTGCTTTGAAGCCAGTTTTCCAAAGCTGCAAATAACAGCTTCAGCTTTTTCCTTTGATTTCAGTTTATTCTCACAGCAGCTTCCAAAATAAGCCATTTTTTTTCAGTTTACCAAACACCTAAAACCCTAACAGTTTTTTTTCATAGGTGCTTTTTTTTTAAGCACCTCACTCCCAAACTAGGTCTAACTCTGCAGAAACTGGGATTTTTGTGTGCTTTTTTGCAGAAATCTCAACAGTCAACAAACAACAATCAATTAAGAAGTCGGATGGATTTGTCATCGACGCGGATCTTTTGTTGGAGTCACTGGATTTGAAGGTTTTTTGTCCCTTACTGTTTGTTTGTCGCTGCCCTGCTTTTATGTCCTTCTTCTACGGACAGATCGAGATTACCATAATGCCCTTCCTTTTCCATTTTCTACCGGGAAGTGAAGTGATGGTTGTTGGTGGCGGCAGCACGCGCCAAAGCTCCAAACCCTATAAAGGTATTTGCCGTGGTTACTATTGTGGTCAAAGTTCTAAGTTTCATGATCAAGGGTAAGTTTTGAAGATCAAGTTTATGTTTTGTGCTTAAATATTAAATATTGGGGGTTCGGAAATATCACACAAACGATGTTCTAAACTAACTAGAGGGTCGAATCAATTTTGAGCAAATACATTTCTTTGGAGAAACAATATATCATGTAGTCTCTGTTAATGATTTGTTGACCGTCATCTTATGCATGTATGGAAGAAACACATTCATTCTAGAAATGTGAACATGTCTACTTCTGTAAAGTAAGATATTAACAAAACATTTTATTATAAATGTTATGTGGTCATCAAGTCTAAAAACTTTCTCTGTGAGGGTGTCCTGATTCTCATCAAATAGTTTTTTTCACCCTTCAAAGATCAAGAGCAATTTAGTTGGGGAGCAAAACTGCGTGACAAGTAATGCGTGTATACTACTAGTAGTAGAATACGTAGAAAATTTGAAAATTTTGAAATAAATATCTTGCTAAACGTAATACTTTCATGCAAGTGTTGCAAAGTATATTAACAGATAATACTACGAGAAATACCAGTAGAGTACTACAAGCGAAGTGCAACGAGAATGTACTAAGATGTTGGACAGGAATAATGTTGGTGATATTGAAGCTAAACAAGTCAACAACCGAGAAAATTAAACAAGATTATGCAGAGGAAGTGGAGCATGTGGAAATTGGCATTGGAAAACTTGTCCACAAGAGTGTGTGCCTTTGAATTGATGCTCTCTACAATTGTGATGCGGGAGACGCGTTTGATCACTGCACATAGACACATTGAGTCCCAATAACACAGAGTCAAAAGTCAAGATTAAGGAATCCATATATTTATTCAATTTGCTTGTCAAACAATCAAATGCAATCTTTCCCACCCATCTCAAAGATTCAAGACATCCATAAACCAAATTTAAAAAAAAATCTGTGAATTCATTAAGATAAGATTATAGTTAAAAATAAAGGAAAATTAACGAAAAATAAAAATAATAATTTAGTTTTAATGAAAAATGACAAATAAAGGTGTAAGTCAATAGTACCAAAAAAGGAAAAAATGTGGATTTTCGTTAAAAATGAACAGTACTGGAAGTATTTTTTTAAAAATCCCAAAAAATAATTGATACCGTTCTGGAGTTTTAACTTAGTAAATTTACGCCCATGAACGACAAGAAAATTGGTTTTGTAATGAAGTATATTTTGTTATGTTTGTAGGGCTCGTCACGTGACTAAAAAAATATTAACTCATTTGAAAGTGCTTTTAATATGGTTAAAAACGTTTTTGGTGAAAATATTTTTGAAAACAATCTTTAATAAAAATGTAAGTAAATCATGTAAAAGTGATTATTGGAAGAAGCACAAAACTAGTTTGTTTTGCCAGTGCGTAGCAAGGATTTTCAAATAATGGGGTCATAATATCAACCAAATAAGCTTCATCGGGCCATTTCATCAAGCACCTAGTAGGCACATGCCAATTCTTATTAACATATGCCCAAAGTTTATGCCAACATATGTCGACAACTACTATTATTTGTAGAGGCTTATTAAATGTGGAAGCAGGATAGTAATGTTGAAGGATGCCAAGACTTTTCAACTAAAGTATTTCATACAAGAAGAGAGAAAAGGAAGACAAATACGATAGAGGAAAATAGAAGAAGTAGGAGAATAAGGTTGTAATTTAGTTTGCCTTACGTGTTTATAGGGTCAAATACAATATACAACACAAATATATATGGGGCTTTTGAAGTTGTTGGGGTCAAGGACAACCAAAGAACCCATGTTGGCTCCACCACTATGTCTTGCAGAAAGCACTTCAAGTGCTTTTGCAACCCAAAAACATATTCTTTAAAAGCGTTTTCGGTCATTTCAAACACTTCCAACACTACTACAAAAGGGGACATCACTAACGGTGTAAAACCGACAAGAAACACCAATTAATGTCGGATTTTTGGTAAAAATCCGACATTAAATAGTGCAATGTTGGATAGAAGAACTATAACATCCCACATTGCTCAGGGGAGTGGATCCTGTAAGCCTTATATGTATATTCCCATCTCTACCTAGCACGAGACATTTTGGGAGCTCACTTGTTTTGAGTTCCGTAGGAACTCCGAAGTTAAGCGAGATCGCGCGAGAGCAGTCCCATGATGGGTGACCCACTGGGAAGTTCTCGTGTGAGTTCCTAGAAACAAAACCGTGAGGGCGTGGTAGGGGCCCAAAGCGGACAATATCGTGCTACGACGGAGTCGAGCTCGAGATGTGGTGGGGGCCCGGGCCGGGATGTGACATTTATTGTAACATCCCACATCGCCCATGGGAGTGGATCCTGTAAGCCTTATATGTATATTCCCATCTCTACCTAGCACGAGGCCTTTTGGGAACTCATTGGTTTCCGGATTCCATAAGAACTTCGAAGTTAAGCGAAATCGCGCGAGAGCAATCCTAGGATGGGTGACTCACTAGGAAGTTCTCGTGTGAGTTCCTAGAAACAAAACCTTGAGGGCATGGTCGGGGCCCAAAGCGGACAATATCGTGCTACGGCGGAGTTGAGCCTGAGATGTGGTGGGGGCCCAGGTCGGGATGTGACAATTTGGTATCAGAGCCAATCCCTGGCCGGAAGTGTGCCGACAAGGACGTCAGGCCCCCAATGGGGGTGGATTGTAACATCCCACATCGCCTAGGGGAATGGATCTTGTAAGCCTTATATGTATATTTCCATCTCTACCTAGCATGAGACCTTTTTGGAGCTCACTGGTTTCGGGTTCCTTAGGAACTCCGAAGTTAAGCGAGATTGCACGAGAGTAATCCTAAGATGGGTGATCCACTGGGAAGTTCTCGTGTGAGTTCCCAGAAACAAAACCGTGAAGGCGTGGTCGGGGCCCAAAGCGGGCAATATCGTGCTACGGCGGAGTTGAGCCCGGGATGTGATGAAGGCCCGGGCTGGGATGTGACAATTTGGTATCAGAGCCACTCTGTCGTATGGTGTGAGTGTGCCAACAAGAACGTCGGGCCCCTAAGGGCGGTGGATTGTAACATCCCACATTGCCTAGGGGAGTGGAAGCTTTATATGTATATTCCCATCTTTTCCTAGCACGAGGCCTTTTGGGAGCTCACTGGCTTCGGGTTCCATCAGAACTCTGAAGTTAAGCGAGTTCGGGCGAGAACATTTCCATGATGGGTGACCTACTGGGAAGTTCTCGTGTGAGTTCCCAGAAACAAAACCGTGAGGACGTGGTTGAGGCCCAAAGCGGACAATATCGTGCTACGGCGGAGTCGAGCTCGGGATGTGGTGGGGGCCTGGGCCGAGATGTGACAAGAATCGACACCAATACTACCGTCACCAAAAGGGTAATGACGTTGCTTAACCCCCTTAATCTGCCACCAAGAAGCAAAGTAATATAAAATAAAAATGAACAACACCGCCACTTAAAAGCGACATCGGCTTTTACATCGCTTATAAGCGACATTAAAATTTGATATGATAGCGGTCAAAACCGACATTAAGTAACAAATAAACAATAAAAATATCACACTTAATGTCGGTCCAAACCGACATCATGTAAGTTAAATAAATAAAATAGTTGAGCTACTGTCGGTCGTAACCAACATTACCTAACATCTCCATAAATAAAATAATTATGTTGTTGTCGTCCATAAGCGACACCAGATATATAAAAAAATAATGGGTTAAACTCTCTGTTTACTACCCTCATGTTTCATGGTTTTCAGCATTTAATACATCAAGTTTTTTTCATCCCAAAGTCATACCTAAAGTGTTAGTTTTGGAATAGTCTCATACATCCGTTAGTCAAACTGTTAGTTCTCCCGTTAAGTGATGAAGTGGTGCCCAGGTGGACAATGATTGGGTGCCACGTGTCATTAAAAAAATTAATTAAATAAAAGTTGAAAAAAAAAACCATTCTTCCCCCCAAGCCAGAAGAAGAGAAAAAAAAATCGAATCTGCAACCCAGAAGAAGGAGGAAGAAGGAGAAGAAGAAGAAAAAAAAAAGAAAAAAAAAAACCGAATCTGCAACCCATAAGAAGAACCTTCTGGGTACGTGTTTGCGGTCGCGGTGGGGGGGGGGAGGACGAACTGGGTTTGGGTTGTTGTTTTTTTTTTCTTCTTCTTCCTCCTCCTTCTTTTTCTTTTTCTTCTTCTTCTGGGTTGCAGATTCGTTTTTTTTCATCTTCTTCTCCTTCTTCCTCCTCATTCTTCTTTTTCTTCTAGGTTGCAAAATTGTTTTTTTTTCTTTTTTTTTCTTCTTCTTCTTCTTTTTGGTTGCAGATTCGGTTTTTTTTT